CTCATGTGTGTAGCCCCAGCAAACTTATATTGGAGGAAATAAGGACTAGACATGTTTGACAACCTTAATTTATTGTTCTTGCTAGAGAAACTTTATAACATTTTATTCCATCTGCTCAGTTAAAACAACAGTGAATTTCACAAGATTCCTAATGAACTGCACATTTACTATGTGGGTGGCCATGTCGACACCCTTCAACCTGACATCCTTCAACTAAAACAATCGAAGGACCAAGGAGAGAAAATGTCAACTGAACAGCACATGCATCCAATCACATGCAGCCACTGTCTGGTTATTCTGACAGATGCTGGAAAAGACCTCCCTCAGTAATAACTATTCTGTTAAAATGATATGTTCATTCCAAACCATATAACACACCTGATGCTCTTCAAGTCCTCCAAGGAGAGTTTATTAAGAGCAATGCCTTAAGTTTCTGCTAGCTGAACCACTTTACCAGAGACTCCATGTGCTTGTCTGAAGGGCATCTGTTGTCAAACAAGAAAATGTGGTTTCTTTTATCTTTTTTTGCCTAACTCAGCACTTAAAAGTATGCACAACAAAGAACACACCTGTTCAGGAATACCAAGTTGAAGTATTTCAGAGATTTGTAAAGAGATTGTCAGTTGTAAGAGACACTCTTCTTTTCCAAGAAGCAATGATTTGGTGCAATAGAGAGCTTTTGGAGCCAATTCTTTAGGTGCCCAAAAGGGCAAGTGCAGGATAAATTTTGTTTCAAAGTTAAAATGGTTGCAAAGGCTGAAGGTAAAAAAAAACCTTCTCATGCAGCAGCTCCCCCAGCCCCCTCAATACCTACCTGAGCCTCATCGTGATCCAGCGATGTGAATGACAGCCTCGGCTGTCCCAGGTCTCTGCTTCCTCATTGGCCAAAACAGCAAACAGGAACCATTGGCTCCCTCTGCTGTCAATCACAGCCAGTCAACCAATGAGGAGAGAGAGAGGGCAGGACCAAGACACAGCTCTGTGTGTGAATGGACACACAGTGCAGCGGGTACCCCCATGGCAAGCTGCTTGCTGTGGGGGCACCCGACAGACAGGAGGAGCCAGGAGAGCCTGCGGGGGACCCGAGAAGAGGATCCAGGCTACTCTATGCAAAACCACTACACATAGTAGGCAAGTATAGACATATTTGTTATTTAAAAAAAAATAAAAAATTAACCTTTAGAATCGCTTTAAGCTAAGGGTGCCAAATCATCATATTTAATTTCCCAAGTAAAGTATAAGTTAGCACAAAAGTTGTTTCCTTTTACAGTATACTAAGTAAAAGCCAAAGGACAACAGCACCTTTAATACAATTGTCCTTTAGTCAATTGCTCCTTGATCCAGTGATCTGGAAAAACCTGAGTGCAGCAGTGCCCTCAGCCCCCTCAATACTTACTTCAGCCCCATTGAGATCCAGCGATGTGAACGACAGCCTCGGCTGTCTCGGGTCTCTGCCTCCTCATTTTCTGAGACAGCAGTCGGGAGCCAGTCAGCCAATGAGGAGAAAACGTAAACAGAACAGCACCTGCATCCAATCACATGCAGCCACTGTCTGGTTATTCTGACAGATGCTGAAAAAGACTGTCAGAATTCAATAGCTGGAACTGCAGCTTTGGCCATTGGTGCTGTATGGAGGAATCTATCAGATTTTCTTTTATTCAGCCTGCAAATCTATCAATGCATTACCAGCTTTAAGTAAGGAAGAATAATGCTGGCACATCCTCTGAACCTACATTTACATAGTTACATAGTTAGTCTGGCTGAAAAAAGACAAAAGTCCATCCAGTTCAACCATAGAAAAAAAAAAATAAAATTATAATCCTATACCCACAGTTGATCCAGAGGAAAGCAAAAAAACCCAGCAAAGAACAATCCAATTTGCTCCTGCAGGGGAAAAAAAATTCCTCCCTGATCCCCCGAGAGGCAATCAAATATTCCCTGGATCAACTTTACCTATAAATGTTAGTATCCAGTTATATTATGTGTGTCTAAGAAACAATCCAGGCCTTTTTTGAAGCAATCCACTGAGCTGGCCAACTCTTGAGGGAGTCTATTCCACATTTTCACTGCTCTCACTGTGAAGAAACCTTTCCGTGTTTGGAGATTACATTTCTTTTCCTCCAGACGTAAAGAGTGCCTCCTTGTCCTCTGTGATGACCTCAGGGTGAATAGCTCTACACCGAGTTCACTATATGAACCACTGATGTATTTATACATGTTGATCATATCCCCCCCTTCTTTACTCTCGGTGAAGAGTATAGAATGTTTATCATATGCCAGTTCAGATTCCAAAGTTCACAACTCTCACCTCCCTTGTACATACACCTATCATTCGATTTTTAGGCTGATCATTTCTTTGTGAGTGGGCAAACATTCAAAATCATCAGGGGATCAAATACTTATTTTCTTCACTGTAGCTGTAATGGCTGCACCAAGTGTTTATGTTTATGTCTAGCACTCAGGATCAGGAGTGCACACCTATTGGTCCTTCTATATCTACAGTGCCTTGAAAAAGTATTCATCCCCCTTGAGATGTTCCACATTTTGTTATGCTACAACCAAAAATGTAAATGTATTTTATTGGGATTTTATGTGACAGACCAACACAAAGTGGCACATAATTGTGAAGTGGAAGAAAAATGTTAAATGGTTTTCAACATTATTTTTACAAATAAAATATCTGAAAAGTGTGGTGTGCATTTGTGTTCAGCCCCCTGAGTCAATACTTTGTAGAACCCCCCTTTCGCTGCAATTACAGCTGCACGTCTTTTTTGGGTATGTATCCATCATCTTTGCACATCTGGAGAGTGACATTTTTGCCCATTCTTCTTAATAGCTCAAGCTCTGTCAGAGCGAATGGAGAGCATCTGTGAACAGCAATTTTCATGTCTTGCCACATTGTCTCAATTGGATTTAGGTCTGGACTTTGATTGGGCCATTCTAACACATGAATATGCTTGGATCTAAACCATTCCATTGTAGCTCTGGCTGTATGTTTAGGTTGGTTGTCTTGCTGGAAGGTGAACCTCCACCCCAGTCTCAATTTTTTTAGACTCTTAACAGGTTTTCTCTTAAGATTGTCCTGTATTTGGCTCCATCCATCTTCCCATCAACTCTGACCAGCTTCCCTGTCCCTGCTGAAATAAAGAATCCCCACAACATGATGCTGCCACCACATTTCACGGTGGGGATGGTGTGTTCAGGGTGATGTGCAGTGTTCGTTTTCTGCCACAAATAGCATTTTGCTTTTAGGCCAAAAAGTTCAATTTTGGTCTCATCTGATCAGAGCACCTTCTTCCACGTTTGCGGTGTTCCCCACATGGCTTCTTGCAAACTGCAAATGGGACTTCTTATGGCTTTCTTTCAACAATGGCTTTCTTCTTGCCACTTTTCCATAAAGGCCAGATTTGTGGAGTGCACGACTAATAGTTGTCCTGTGGACAGATTTTCTCGCCTGAGCTGTGGATCTCTGCAGCTCCTCCAGAGTTACCATGGGCCTCTTGGCTGCTTCTCTGATTATTGCTCTCCTTGCCCAGCCTGCCAGTTTAGGTGGACGGCCACTTCTTGGTAGGTTTGCAGTTGTGCCATACTCTTTCCATTTTTGGATGATGGATTGAATAGTGCTCTGTGAGATGTTCAAAGCGTGGGATATTTTTTTTAAAATCTAACCCTGCTTTAAAATTCTCCACTTTATCCCTGACCTGTCTGGTGTGTTCCTTGACCTTCATGATGCTATTTGTTCACTAATGTCCTCTAACAACTCTATGAGGGCTTCAGAGAACAGCTGTATTTATACTGAGATCAAATTACACACAGGTGGACTCTATTTACTAATTAGGTGACGTCTGAAGGCAATTGGTTCCACTAGATTTTAGTTAAGGGTATCATAAAGGGGGCTGAATACAAATGCATGCCACACTTTTCAGAAATGTATTTGTAAAAAAATTTTGAAAACCATTTATCATTTTTCCTTCCACTTCACAATTATGTGCCATTTTGAGTTGGTACATCACATAAAACTCCAATTAAATACATATACATTTTTGGTTGTAATATGACAAAATGTGGAAAATTTCAAGGGGTATGAATACTTTTTTCAAGACACTGTATGTCCTGACATTAGAGGGTGCTCCCCTTCTGATATACTGGAGCAGGACAGAGGAATGGAAGAACAGTGTCATGGTTGAGTGCAGATTTCAAGGGGTAAAAATACATTTTAAAGCACTGTACGGCCACCTTCAAATTATTTTGGAGTCAATAAAAATAGCAATAGACTGAAAAGCAAAAAAAAAAACCCCCCAAAAAACAACACACACACACCACGACAGGGTTTGATAATATTTGAATTCATTTTAATGTAACAGGCCATCATTGCATATATAAAATTATAATAATTGAATACTATTTGGCATCTCTGACATTTGTTTCTGCTTCCAATTACTTTCATCGATTACATGGTTTCCTAAAGAAGCACTGGAATTATTATTATTTAAGATGAACTCCAGACAGATTAGACAAAAATGATTGCAGCTCTGTATTCATTATATTTATATTTTAAAAAACAAGCAGTGTAAATAACTGAATTTGACTTGGAATAAGCCTTTTGCATAACAGAGCTCAGATTGATGAGAGAGAGGCAGTAAGGTGTTGCAGTGTTGATTTACTAACCAGGGACATGGTGATAGGAGGAGGGCACAAAGTGACAATGAGATGAACTCATCCATGTGCTGCTTCTGCTTTCATTGCCCGGTCACAGGCTGGGGCTGGTGACCAGATTTGTAAGTGTTCCTTAACCTCAACAGGAAAATATTGTGCTGGGTGACAGAGATGTAAAAATCTCAGGACTGCATGATCATCCATACATGCTTTGGCAGGTAAAACAAATCCCTTATATTTATTTTACCTGTGTATCTGTGTTTCCTGGAGTTCAGCTTAAAATATGTCTAACATACCTTCATGTTTTCCATCAAATCTACTGTGGTCCAATTATCCCATTATAATCACTGGCTCTTGTGATTTTGTAGCCAGGTTCTCAGCTGTTCAACCTGTGCCACCACACAACTCTTTGCTGTTTCCTCCTGCCGCTGTATACTGCTCCACACTGTTCGTGTAGTTCCACACCTTGGATACATCATTGCTGAAGAGTGGACTGCAGGAACAAAGAAGCAGCAATAGGTGATCTAATTATTAAGGCACCCAGGGTTTACACATTCTTATATCCTACACAATTATTTTGCCTATTAAAAGCATAGTTTCCCTAGTCTATGCAAAACTGTACATCAATGCAGTGTTCAATCTGAGAAGCAACAAATATAGACTCTATAAAGTCTTTATAGACTATAAAGGGCAGGGCACATGAAGGTACATACTTCAGAATGGAAGGTGTTTGTTACCATTCTCACTGATGGGAGCTATTGCAGACAAAAGCCCATCTTCAAATCAGATCATGTCTGTGGGTAGCAAGCATGGAATAAGTGTAGAGACAAACAAAAGTATTTAGAACAACTGTGTGTTTTGCCCCACCCATGCATTTAATCATGCATTGGAAAGGACAAGAGAAGGAAATTATAAAATTTGAGTTCTTCCTTGGGATATACTGAAATATTTATAAATACAACCATGCATATTGATAACATGCCACCCAGTGGTGTATTTAGGTTTTGTGCTGCCCTAGGACACAAAAAAATCCAATGCCCCTCCCCAGCAGAGAGAGAACCTGACACCGACCAACCCCTTCCCCACAGAGAGAACCCGACAGTGATCAACAACACCCCTGCTCCATCCCCTCGCCCATCCAAGAGAGCTTTCCACTAAAAACCCCCTCTCACGGTGATAGAGAGAAAGACACTCATGTCCAAAGCTGTGAAGATGACAGTTGGGCTCTGCATACACAATCAAACATCCTGCAGCCTCTTTCGGATCTCACCTGGTCCCCATGCTGCATATGTTTCTACTTCTGGACAGCAGTGCTGCCCCCCTAAAAAATGCCACCCTAGGCAAATACCTTGTTTGCCTTGTGGTAAATATGCCCCTGCTGCCACCTATAAAACCTACTTGGAATGAGGTATAGCTATAGAACCTCACATTAAAAAGGAGAACTCCAGACTTAAACAGTATGAGTTTAAATGTAAAGCTCAGATGCCCCTCTTTTATTTTTCTAGTTCTTCTTTTTGGTTTAATCTAGTTTCCCCCCCTTTTTTTACGGGATGATCTCTTAACATTACCTGCTGTATGAGGCACATTAATATTATTTGGCTCCATGGCGAGCAACAGGAGATATAGTAGGGTTGTCTAAGAAGAGGACCTGTTTCAAGCCATCAGAACCATGCAGAGCGTAACTAGGATAAAGAAGCCTTTTCTTAGGCATGGCAGAGAAGTACCTTGTTTGTTTATTTCTTCTACTCATATACTCAACTTGTTTTATCAAGCATATTGAAGGTATGGTCCAATATATTGGATTTTTCATAATACTCAGGAATATTATAGCTGTGTTTTTCTTTGTCTATTACATTGCACTGTGCCTGGATGTGTATACTGTTGGAATTGTGTTTTCCTCATCCCACGTTCTCAGGATGATTTTGTACTTTCGTGAAAAAACAATAAAAATCATTGGAAACTAAAGCTCAGATGCATGCTCCCTCCAAGAGCTGTTTTATATTTTATGTTTCATGGAAAATGTTGAAATTATGTTGTGCTTGTGTGTAACAAAATGATTTTATGTTCTGTGATGTACAAGAATAGGATTGCCATAGTTTTATTATACAGTTCCTCTGCTTGCAGAAAATAGACAGTTTGGGAGTTTATAGCAAACTTTCAGATCCATATCCGAAAAAAATTGTAAAATTGGCCAGACAGCAATACTATAAAAGACACTGCAGAGGAAAATGATCTGATTTACCCCCCCTCAGTATGAACTATTCTGTTAAAATGATATGTTCATTCCAAACCACATAACACACCTGATGCTCTTCAAGTCCTCCAAGGAGAGTTTATTGAGAGCAATGTCTTTAGTTTCTGCTAGCTGAACTGCTTTACCAGAGACTCCATGTGCTTGTCTGAAGGGCATCTGTAGTCACAAACAAGAAAATGAGGGTTCTTTTATCATTTTTTTGCCTAACTTAATACTTAAAAGAAACAATTATAGATTCATTATATGAATTATATAATATAAAAAGTATAGAACAATTATTCTGTATGCACAACAAGAAACACACCTATCCAGAAATACGAAGTTCAGGTATTTCAGAGCTTTGTAAAGAGATTGTCAGTTATAAGAGACACTCTTCTTTTCCAAGAAGCAGTGATTTGATGCAAGAGAGAACTTTTGGAGCCGATTCTTTAGGTGCTCAAAAAAGGCAAGTGCAGGATAATTTTGTTTTAAAGTTAAAGTGGTTGTAAAGGCCCAAGGTTTTTTACCTTCCTGCATTCTATGCATGAAGAAAAAAAAAAAAAAAAAAACCTCAGTGGAGCAGCCCCCCCAGCCCCCTCAATACTTACCTGAGCCTCATCGTGATCCAGAGATGTGAATGACAAGCTCAGCTGTTCTGAGTCTCTGCCTCCTCATTGGCTTTTTATTAGTCATTGCAGCTAAAGTGGGCAACACAGTGCCTAAATGGTTAGCACTTCCACCTGGCAGTACTAGGGTTGTTGGTTTGAATCCTAACCACGGTACCACCTGTCTGGAGTTTGCATGTTCTCCCTGTGCCTGCGTGGGTTTCCTCCGGGTATTCCGGTTTCCTCCCACAAGACATGCTGGTAGGTTAATTGGCTCCTGTCTAAATTGGCCCTAGTATGTGTATGTATGAATGTAAGTTAGGGACCTTAGATTGTACACCCCTTGAGGGTTAGGGACTGATGTGAATGTATAATATATATATGTAAAGCGCTGCGTACATTGACAGCGCTATATAAGTATCTGAAATAAATAAAGTAGGACAATGATCAGTTCATAATTACATACAGCAGGTAGGGTGCTTTATAAATACTCATGTAGCACTATCCCCTTAGAAGTCGCTAGAAGATTTGGGTCCTTCTATAGTCCTGCAAAGCTAGGCATCACACATCTTCACCAAGAATTGCATCCAGAGTCAGAAATCAGTCCTTGAGCTTTAGTTTTTGTTGTTTTATTTAGGGAATTTGAACTGGTATAGGGTTAGTGCCCAAAGGCACTGATGAACTAAGGACAACTTCTTGGAACTATTTACAAGCATTCACTGCAACACAGCCTCTGTTGGAGAGCTAGCCAGCATCCCTTAATGTACCAACCCAGACCCTAGATGAACTCCTCTTCTTCACCTAGCAATCTGGAGGTATCCTGAACAGGGGATCTGGGGTCTGTTACTTTAAAGTGGACAGTCCAAGTAAGTAGCAAATCTGATTTCCCACCATTGTGGTCCTTCCCCTATCCGCCAAGGGGGTACAGGAGTACTCACTCAGATCCTGTACCGCTGAGGGGCTGGTAGCTGCTACCAGGCCTTTTAGCTGGGCCACTCCTTGCCGGCCTTACAGGTGGTCCTCACTCTGGGGGCCAGTGAGCTCTGAGTTTTTCTTCTTTCCAGCTCCTGGCCTGCAGGTAGGCCCCATCCCTCTGAGCCTCCTCGCAGACTCCTGCCTTCAGCCTCACATCTTCCTCACTATCTTCTACCTGAACTCCCCTGCCACTGAGCAGGCTCCAACACTTTTTGAAGGGTGTCCCAGCCTCTTACCTAGCCTTCTGTCTGGGATTGGCTAGGATCCCTCAAGAGTGCAAGCCAGCCACTCCTCAACTCCACCCATCGTCTCTAGGCCTTCCTCCAAAGCCCCAGCGCAGGGGGAAATTCCAGAGGGGCTGGCCTGCAAAGCCTCTCAGCTCCTGACCACAATTTGATCCTCTGACTATCACACCCAGGCTGCTACTCAGAACTCCTCTCTATCAACTGAACACTAGCTCCCCCTAGCTAACTAGAGGGCGCTACACTAAACAGACCAGACCTGACCTACTTAGAGCTGCACAATTTTCTATTATAGCTGTAAATGAAGCCTTACCCCTTTCCTGACCAGATAATAAGCAATGTCTGTAGCCAGCATATCGGGGCTCAGTGCTTTCTCCATACCTTCCTTGTTTATCTGAAACATAAAATGACATATTAGCACAGAGCATATATTTCCAAACAGAAGGCAAATTTACTATAAAACTGAAAAGAAGCAGAATTTACTCCGTTTACCCCTAGACACAACCTTTATTTCACAAAATAATTGCAGCTCTAATTGTACATATAACTTGAAGATCCAAGAGACTAAATAATAATTATAACAAATGACAGCAAAGACCATGTAGAATTCTCATATATAGATAGAAATTGGTGCATAAGAAAGAATTCCAATCCAGAAAGAAGACCGTCACCTTCCACCCAAATAAATTCACCTCTTACCAGTAGGTCGGACTGCCAAAAGGGTCAGGTTGGCCAGCATGAGCAGTGTAATATATCCAGCTGATACTGCAACCGGTCTTCAATAGGAATCACTTCCAGAGCAAATCAAAGATACTTCTCCAAATTAAAATTCTGAGTAGAACACATGCCTGCTCTATTTGAGATCCTGAATGCAGGATCAAATGAGGTCTTTGAGGCACTCCATCACACCTTGTAACCTGGAGCGGTAGAATGGCACACATGGTGGCCTCACCTGCTGCCTCGCACTGACCGCTCTCCCTGCTGCTCAACGTCCTCCTTATTATCAGCAAGGACACTGAGCAGCAGGGAGAGTGGTCAGTGCGAGGCAGCAGGTGAGGCCACCATGTGTGTCATTCTACCACTCCAGCTTACATGGTGTGATGGAGGGCCTCAAAGACCTAATTTGATCCTGCATTAAGGATCTCAAATAGAGCAGGAATGTTTGCTACTCAGAATTTTAATTTGGAGAAGTATCTTTGATTGCTCTGGAAGTGATTCCAATTGAAGACCGGTTGCAGTATCAGCTGGATATATTACACTGCTCATGCTGGCCGACCCTCTGGGTGGTCAGACCTTCTGGTAAGAGGCCAATTTATTTGGGTGGAAAGTGAAGGTCTTCTTTCCGGATTGGAATTCTCTTTCTTATGCACCAATCTCTATCTATATATGAGAATCCTACATTGACTTTGCTGTCATCTGTTATAATTATTATTAATCTCAGGACCCACATCTGTCTTTGGTCATCAAGTTGCGACCCAAAAATAATTTTTAATTTCCTAAACATTATAATTAACACCAATACCCCTAACTTTAAGCATTGTCCCCTCTACCTCACACGAATAGGTCATTAAGCTGAGCAATGCCTCCTCTGCATCTCACTCTCTCAAAAGCACACTAAGTTAAGAGTTTGAATGTCTTCAGTGTTTTTTAAAAAAAACAATATAGTTTGAGCAAGGGTTTCCAGTGCCCCCCCCCCCCCCTCCAATCTTATGCTCTTTCCTTATCCCCCTTTCAACCCTCCTTTATTACCCACCTTGACCGCCTTTTCATGCCCTCCCCCTTCATGGTTTCCTTCAGTCCTCCCCTTTCATGCACACTTTCAGTCCCCCACCATCGCTTTCCTGTTTTCTTTCAGCCCTTTCAAAGTGCACTATCCATCACCGAGCCACAACTCAGGAAAAAGTACCAAGCGGACTCATTCCCTGGCATCCAGTGATACTTTTCTTCCCTCGTACATGGATGCCTGGCTGGCTGGGAGGAAGTGTAATTATATGTGATTTCCTCCCAGCGCTGCCACGGAGGAAGAAGGAATGAGCGTGAGGGCCGTGGGACTGCTTTTTAAGTGCACATCACCTTAATGGAACCGGCTGGCCGCTATAATACAAATATTAAGACCAACCATAGTTGCGATCCCGGCCGTCTTAACATTTATATTAGTGCGGCCAGTGTTTTTTATTAAGCTATGTTGTCAGAGCACCGGACATTTATTGGGGCATTAGAGAGGCCTGGGGGGCACTTGCCTCATGGCCCAGTCCACCTCTGATCAGGACCCAGTTTTGGGTCACAACCCATTACTTGAGAAACATGGCTCTATGACATCTTCTCCACATAAATGGGTATTATACCTGGACCAACTCTAATCATGGAGTACTGCCACTATTGAGGTCACTAAGGGTCTTCTTGCTGCAAAAGTTCCACTCTAATGGAATGCATGGGTAGTTCACATTGAACTATCTTCTTTTCAGTGTTTTGCTGAATAAGGCCTATGTCATATATAAAACACTAGTGACAGGAAAGCTAAAAACTGTGGAGAAAATACTTACCAGTTTCCATCGATTGCTCATGAGAAAAAGATGCCAGCAATGGAGTGAGATTTTGCTCATCCAACCATGGAGGGAGGGACATATGAAAACAGGTGAATGAGTATTTCTCTACCCTGTAAGCCATAATTAACGATCCTGTTGCTGACAAGTTGCCATCAGCGACAAAATTGCTAGTGTGACATAGCCCTAGGCCTCTAAAAGTGTGAATAAATACAGTAGAAATATTTTACCTGCAATGTGGAGATCACTCCAGAGGCCACTTGGAGTACAGCACATACTGTATCATAAACATCAAACATGGCCTCCTTGTCTTCCTAGTCAAGGAAACAAAAAAAAAACACTGATTTTACAAAATTATTGCTGCAGTATCTTTAGAGATCAAATTACAATTCCTTGCAATAGATTAGTGAAAAAAATGTAATAATCGCAACTCTAATGTTTTCACCTCTGCAACAGAAGTAAGAACTGGATATCTAAATTGATCCCAACAAAACCCTGTGCTGGTAGAAGTTCCGCTTTAAGGACTGGTCCCCCACTCCCCAGATTGCTACCTTTGGGGGGGGGGGGGGAGCAGGTACCCGAAATTGACAGGTACCCACTCCCACTTCCGCTGGATCACCAAGGCAATCAGAAGCAGAAGTTGTCCTCACCCCGTAGTCTTCTGGGACATGTGACAGGTCCCAAAAGACTACAGGACCACTCACAAAGCACAGCGCTACTCGCGCATGCGCAGTGAGCACCCGGCTGTGAAGCCGCAAGCTGTCACAGCCGGTTGACCACACTGAAGATGTCAGCGCCGGGAACACAGGGCAGCCGGTGAAACAGGCTGTGGGGGGTACACCAGTACACCACGGGATTGAGGGACAGGTAAGTGTTTTTTAAAAGTCAGCAGCTACAGTTTTTGAAGCTGCCAACTTTACTTTTTTTATTTTCACTGGAATTCTGCTTTAAGTTTTCACTTTGCAAGAGTTTTAGGAACTTCACCACAGAGTCCTACCTGCTGCAGTTGTCTTGATATGAACATATGGGTTCCAACCACTTCCTACTTCCTGAGAGCTAAGTTGGGGGGGACAGATGTAGTCACATGAACATCCCCAGCATTGTAAATTAAAAAAAAAAAAGAAAAAGAAAAAGTGAAAAGTGCTGGAGAAAGGCATTTCTGAAAATGTTCTATACATTGTGTACAGAATGTACATGTTGTTGGTAGGCAGGGCCGAGCCCAGCTCAGTGTATCATTGGACACGGGGCTCAGGAGTGAGTACACGAGTGCCCCCATATCAAGCAGCTTGCTATGGGGCACTCTGGAGGCAGGTAGCCAGGAGCAGCAGCAGGGGACCCAAGAAGATGAGGCTCTGGACTGCACTAAAAAAAAAAAAAACCAAAATAAACACAAACACATAAAACAACATACACACACACACAAGGCAAATAAAAAATTGTATAGAATACAATTAACATCTGCACCTCTGGAAATAATGGGCAAAATAGAGTGTTGTAAGCTGTTGTAATCAAGTTGAAAATAGTAAATCAGTTCAAGTACAGCTGGGTTGGTGAAGCGCTCTCAACAAAAACATATTCAATTAAATCTATGTTGGAGTTTTAGAAGGTAATAGCTGGGAACAGCAGATTACTAATTGTATGCAAATAGCACCAAAAGCAGATCACCAACTGTATGCAAATAGCACCAGCAAGGTTTCCACTATTTTTTAGTTTTAGATTCACACATTGTACTGAAGTTATTAGTTCACAATCTTACATGGTTAGCATATGTTTTTGTTGAGAGCGCTGCACCAACCCAACTATATTTAGAATGAAAAATTATGACATCAGAATGAATCTCTACCTGTGTTTGGTTAGTATTGGAAAACAAAAAAAAAAAATCTGTAGATTTGCACTAACTTCACTAATGTAATGCAAAGGACTAAACTTGTCTTTGTCCACTATATTGCGAAAGCACCAAAAAGAAGAAATGTCTGCAGGGTCCATTGAAACAAGTTATCCTTGCATGTTTTTTGTTAACCACTTGCTAAACACGCTATACCAGAATGATGGCTACAGCACGATTGTCCAGTTCTGGGAGTGTCACATGACATCCTCCCAGAACGTGCCCTCCCGCGGTGCACACCTGGAGCTGTCAGTCATCGCTGTGTCCTACGGACACAGGTGATCTCATGATGAGGTAAAAGGCCAATCACAGTAGCCTTTTACCACGTGATCAACTGTGTCCAATGACACAGCAGATCACAATGTATATACAGTTGCAGGTTATCAGCAACACTTTCCTCACGCTGTCACAGAGCAGATCGGCACTGATCATCAGTGCCCTGCAGTGTCACTCACCAGTGCCCAGCAGTGCCACCCATCAGTGCTGCTCAGCAGTGCCGCCCATCAGTGACCATCATGGCTGCATATCAGTGCCTCCTCATCAATGCCCAACAGTGCTGGCAAATTCCACGCAAAACCCCAAAAATGGACTGGACAAAATTATTGGCATCCTCAACTTAACATTGGGTAGCACACCCCTTGGAAAAAATAACTGAAATCAAATGTAACCATCAATGAGTTTCTCACACCTCTCTACTGGAATTTTGGACCACTCTTCCATCGTCAACTGCTCCAGGTCTCTCAGATTGGAAGAGTTCCTTTTCCCAACTGCTGTTTTAAGGTCTCTCCACAGGTACTCTATGGGATTGAGATCTGGACTCTTTGCTGGCCAGTTCCGTACTCTCCAGCGCTTTGTCTGAAACCAATTCTGGGTGCTTTTTGACATGTGTTTTGGGTCATTGTCCTGCTGTAAGACCCATGACCTCAGACGGAGAGCCAACTTTCTGACACTGGGCCCTACATTGCACCCCAGAATTCTTTGGTAGTCTTCAGATTTCATAATGCCATGCACATGGTCAAGACATCCAGTGCCTGAAGCAGCAAAGTAACCCCAAAACATCAGTGAACCTCCACCATGTTTGACTGTAGGGACTGTATTCTTTTCTTTAAAGGCCTGGTGGACTTTACCAAAAAGCTGTAATTTTGTTTCATCTGTTCACAGCACATTCTCCCAAAATAATTTCGCTTCCTCGGGTAAGTTTTTGCAAACTCCAATCTGGCTTATTTATGTTTGTGTCAGCAGTGGGGTCCTCCTGGGCTTCCTACGATAGTGTCTCTTTTTATTCAGATGGCGACGTATAGTCGCAGCTGTACCGTGAGCCTGAAGGTCAGCTTGAATTTGTCTGGAAGTTGACCGAGGTCCTTTAGCCACCATACGAATAATCCTTCATTGCAATGTTTGATCAATTTTTCTCTTTTGTCCACATCTGACACAGCTGTACCATGAGCCTGAAGGTCAGCTTGAATTTGTCTGGAAGTTGACCGAGGTCCTTTAGCCACCATATGAATAATCCTTCATTGCAATGTTTGATCAATTTTTCTCTTTTGTCCACATCCAGGGAGATTAGCCACAGTGCCATGGGCTGTAAACTTCTTGACAATGTTGTGCACAGAAGACACAGGAACATTAAGATCTCTGGATATGGACTTGTAACCTTGAGATTGTCCATGCTTTTCCACAATTTTTGTTCTCAAATCCTCAGACAGTTCTCTGCTGCTCTTTCTCTTCCCGATGCTCCATGTAGCACACAGAAACGCACAACAGAAAGTTTGAGTACATTTTTCACCATTTTAACTGGTTGCCGGTGTGATTCCTATATTGTCAGCACTTGTTAATTGATACAGGTGAGTTTAAACTACAAATTACAGGAGCATCACAAACTTGGAATGCAATTAGTTTTAACAATTTTGAGAAGGTGCCAATAATTTTGTTCAGTCCATCTGTGGGGTTTTGATTGGAATCTGTCAGAATTGGCTTTTTGCTTCTCCACTTTTCTGTGTTATACCAATACAATCAAAAGAAAGAAACATGCAAATACCTAAAAACATTTGTAATTGCAACAATTTTCTGGGTGATGTGGTGCATTATCTGACAGAAATACAGGGGTACCAATATTTTTGGCCATGACTGTATGTTTACAGACAGTTCTGTTCCCACATCCCTCTCTACGTACTGTATATAGCTGATAATTTTACTGTCCAACTTCGGGGGACAAAAAGTAAAACTAATGAAAGCAGTTAAAAGACAATTATAGTGGTTACCAAATGGGGAATGGCTTACAATTCAGACGTACAGTGCAACCAAATCGTATTCACAGCGCTTAACTTTTGGCACATTTTGTTATGTTACAGACTTATTCCAAAATGGATTAAATTCATTTTTTTCCTCAACATTCTACATACAATACCCCATAATGACAACATGAAAGAAGTTAGTTTTGAAATCTTTGCAATTTATTCAAAATAAAAAACGAAAAAAAAACCCACATGTACAGAGGTATTCCCAGCCTTTGCTCAATACTTTGTTAAAGCCCCTTTAGCACCAATTACAGTCTCAAGTTGTTTTGAGTATGATGTTACAAGCTTGGCACACCTATTATTGGGCAATTTCTCCCATTATTCTTTGCAGTACCTCTCAAGCTCCATCAGAATGGATGGGGAGCGTCGGTGCACAGCCATTTTCAGATCTCTCCAGAGATGTTCAATCGGGTTCAAGTCTGGGCTCTGGCTGGGTCACTCCAGAACATTCACAGAGTTGGCCTGTAGCCACTCCTTTGTTATGTGGGCTGTGTGCTTAGGGTCGTTTTCCTGTTGAAAGATGAACCATCATCACAGTCTAAGGTCCAGAGCGATCTGGAACAGGTTTTCATCAAGGATGTCTCTGTACATTGCTGCATTCATCTTTCCTTCAATCCTGACTAGTCTCCCAGTTCCTGCTGCTGAAAAAAACATCCCCACAGCATGATGCTGCCACCACCATGCTTCACTGTAGGGATGGTATTGGCCAGGTGGTGAACGGTGCCCGGTTTCCTCCAGACGCTTGGCATTCAGGCCAAAGAGTTCAATCTTTGTTTCATTAGACCAGAGAGTTTTGTTTCTCATGGTCTGAGAGTCCCTCAGGTGCCTTTTGGTAAACTCCAGGCGGGCTGCCATTTGCCTTTTACTGAGGAGTGACTTCCGTCTAGCAACTCTACCATACAGGCCTGATTGGTGGAGTGCTGCAGAGATGGTTGTTCTCCTGGAAGGTTCTCCTCTCTCCACAGAGAAACGGTGGAGCTTTTACAGAGTGACCATCGGGTGCTTGATTACCTCCCTGGCTAAGGCCCTTCTCCCTCGATTGCTCATTTTGGCTGGACGCCCCCCTCTAGGAAGATTCCTGGTGGTTCCAAACTTCTTCCATTTACAGATGATGGAGGCCACTGTGCTCATTGAGACCTTCAATGCTGCAGAAATTTTTTTGTACCCTTCCCCAGATCTGTGCCTTGATACAATCACGTCTCGGAGGTCTATGGACAATTCCTTGGACTTCATGGCCTGGTTTGTGCTGATATGCGCAGTTAACTGTGGAACCTTATATAGACAGGTTTATGCCTTTCCTAATCATGTCCAGTCAACTGAATTTCCCACAGGTGGTCTCCAATCAAGTTGTGAAAACATCTCAAGGATGATCAGTGGGAACAGAATGCACCAAAGCTCAATTCTGAGTGTCATGGCAAAGACTATGAATACTTATGTACATGTGTTTTTTTTTTTTTGTTTTTTTTTTAATAAATTGCAAAGATTTAAAAATTAACTTCTTTCACATTGTCTCTATGGGGTATTGTTTGAATGTTGAGGAAAAAAAATGAATTTAATCCATTTTGGAATACGGCTGTAACATAACAAAATGTGGCAAAAGTTAAGTGTTGTGAATACTTTCTGGATGCACTGTAGTACTGTACACTGTAAGAGAAGTTTATGTAGCAGTCACCGACTGCTCTGTTACCCTCCAGTCCTGCTGAGATGTAGCCCTTGCTGACCCATTTCAGAGCCCTGTGTACAAAGAGATGAACTAAGTAGGTAACTCTTACCTGAAGGTCCTTGTTGTAGGTGCTAGGAAGGCCTTTCAGTGTCATAAGGAAGCCAGAGCACTGCGAAAAGCCACACAACTTATTATTTTATCAAGTTTTATAATTACTGAAACATATTTACTGAAACGCTGACTCATTCCTCAACAAATATTATTTCAAGGACAAATGTATTTAATTGCATTGGAAAGATACAAGAAGTATAGATAAAAATTGAATGGGGAAAAAATGCCTCCAAAAAACACAATTCCCACTGTGAAAAAATAAAAACAGGTGACAATGTTGTCAGCTAACCATCAGCCAAAATTTTCAGAAGATTTTTGACCATATGTTGTAACAAAGAGTAATTTCTGTATACAGCATCCCAGTAGATCTTGTTTTTCACACTATACCAGGTTGTTAGAAAAATAGAATGGATGGAATACACTCCATGGGCAAACATAAAAACAACACAGCACCCCAGATCAGTTGTTAGAAGAGAGACAGCAGAGAGTGTGAAGGGGTCTCAGAATCAAGAACTCAGGGGTTACCACATCGGCTCCCTAAGAACTTAGAGTCTCTGGGTTGCTACCCAAACTTTGGATTTGACACTGGGCCAACAGTTATCAACATCTTCAAAATTTGAGGATGTTGCCAGGAGAAGCACAAAAATGACAAAGTTAACAAGTCACTAAACAATGCAGGCCAATTTCTTTGGCAACGTAAGCAGAAGTACAGTGCCTTAAATAAGTATTCATACCCACTGAAATTTTCCAAATTTTGTCATGTTACAACCAAAAACGTAATTGTATATTATTGGGATTTTGTGTGCTAGACCAACATAAAGTGGCACATAATTGTGAAGTGGAAGGAATATAATAAACGGTTTTCCAATTTTGTTTTACATATAAATATTTGAAAAGTGTGGCATGCATTTGTATTCAGCCCCCTTTTCTCTGATACCCCTAACTAAAAGCTAGTGGAACCAATTGCCTTCAGAAGTCACCTAATTAGTAAATAGAGTCCACCTATGTGTAATTTAATCTCAGTATAAATACAGCTGTTCCATGAAGCCCTTAGGTTAGGTTTGTTAGAGAATGTTAGTGAACAAAAGAGCATCATGAAGGCCAAGGAACACACTAGACAGGTCAGGGATAAAGTTGTGGAGAAGTGTAAAGCAGGGTTAGGGTATAAAAAAATATCCCAAGCTTTTACCATCTCATGGAGCACTGTTCAATCCATAATTTGAAAATGGAAAAAGTATGGCACAACTGCAAACCTACCAAGACATGGCCGTACACCTAAACTGACAGACGGGGCAAGGAGAGCATTAATTAGAGAAGTAGCCAAGAGGCCCATGGTAACTCTGGAGGAGCTGCAGAGATCCACAGCTCAGGTGGAAGAATCTGTCCACAGGACAACGATTAGTTGTGCACTCCACAAACCTTACCTTTATGGAAGAGCAGCAAGAAGAAAGCCATTGTTGAAAGAAAGCCATAAGACGTCTCATTTGCAGTTTGTGAGAAGCCATGTGAGGGACACAGCAAACATGTGGGAGAAGGTGCTCTGGTCAGATGAGACCAAAATTGAACTTTTTGGCCTAAAAGCAAAACGCTATGTGTGGCGGAAACTAACATTGTACATCACCCTGAACAGACCATCCCCACCGTGAAACATGGTGGTGGCAGCATCATGTTTTGGGGATACTTTTCTTCAGCAGGGACAGGGAAGCTGATCAAAGTTGATGGGAAGATGGATGGAGACAAATACAGGTCAATCTTAAAAGAAAACCTGTTAGAGTCTGCAAAAGACTTGAGACTGAGGCGGAGGTTCACCTTCCAGAAGGACAATGACCCTAAACATACAGCCAGAGCTACAATGGAATGGTTTAGATCAGAGCATATTCATGTGTTAGAATGGCCCAGTCAAAGTTCAGACCTAAATCCAATTGAGACTCTGTGGCAAGACTTGCAAATTGCTGTTCACAAATGCTCTCCATCCAATCTGACAGAGCTTGAGCTATTTTACAAAGAAGAATGGGCACAAATTTCACTCTCTAGATGTGCAAAGCTGGTAGAGATATCCACAAAAAGATTGCAGCTGGAATTGCAGCGAAAGGTGGTTCTACAAAGTATTGACTCAGGGGGCTGAATACAAATGCATGCCACACTTTTCAAATATTTTTTTGTAAAAAAAAATTTGAAAAACATTTATCATTTTTCTTCCACTTCACAATTATGTACCACTTTGTGTTGGTCTGTCACATAAAATCCCAATAAAATACATTTACATTTATGTTTGTACCATGACAAAATGTGGAAAATTTCAAGGTGTATGAATACTTTTTCAAGGCAATGTATACAGTGCAATGTGCAGCATAACTGTATGGCAACCAGTATGCAAAAAGAAAAATCTACAAAGACTTCATATAAATATTTCATAATACTTAACATACTCGACCAAAGACACGTCCAGCTTTGCTTCGGATAAGTTCCAAGCTGTCAGGGTTCTTCTTCTGAGGCATCAAACTACTCCCAGTACTGAGAAGAAAAAGATAAATCCTCAGTGTCCAATAACCTTTCTCCATGGGATTGTATTGTCCCATTTTTTCACGTGTTCCTGTTCTATAATTTTGCTCATCTGAAGTGAATAGTTATTTATTTATTGAAGGTACTTATACAGAGCGAACAATTTACTCAGCATTTTACATATGTATTATGCATTCGCATCAGTCCCTGCCCTCAAGGAGCTTACAATCTAAGGTCTCTAACTCACACTCATACATACACATACTAGGGTCAATTTAGACAGGAGTCAATTAACCTACCAGCATGTCTTTGGAGTGTGGGAGGAAACCGGAGTACCAGGAGGAAACCCACACAGGCACAGGGAGAACATGCAAACTCCAGGCAGGTAGTGCTGTGGTTGGGATTCAAACTGATGACCCTAGTGGTGCCATAAAGAAGTGTTAACCACTTAGCCACTGTGCTGCCCAAACAGTTTTTACTATTTAAAACAGTATTAAATGAACACTTTTATGTTTTGGATGGACTGAGGAAGATTCACATCCCCTTTTATGTTTCGGTTTTCTTTTTGTGCTGTTTGCCTGGCTCCTTCCATTTTTTAAGCTGAAGTTTAATCGAGCCATGTGGTATCGGAAGGCCCACCCATGGCTCAAATTTTGGATTTATTCAAAAGAAATTGGCCAAAATTCAAGCCGTATATGGCCATTTTTACATTTACAAGTCAGCTACTATCCTGGGAGGCTCTTTTGAAGTAAGCATTCTAGAACACATTGGGATCAGTTCAAATTTCAGGTTACCACCTGAGGCTAATACTGGCTAATGAGAACTTTGAGGTTCTATGAGGTGTCTAGTGAGGAGAACAGAAAATGGAGCCATTTGAGATACCAATAAAATACCAGTTAAGAAGGTAAAATACACACTAATGAGAAAAAGAGGCTTTCAAGTGTTTTAAAATCAATGTAAACATATCTGTTCCATACCTATGCAATGTTTATATATGTTAAATAATAATTTTGATAGGAAAATTATTGTGAAATAAAATAAAGAACACCATTTAAAAACCTCTTATTCCAGCACATAACTATAGATATATCAGACCTTTCAACTACTATGGTGGCAAAAAGCACAAAGAGCCCAGAAAGGTTATGCAGAGCTTTATCCAGATAGCAATAGCACTGAGCACGTACTGTACATTTAAATGCGTGTGCGTTTATATATAGTGACGCACATATATACACACACATACATATATACACACACACTGTATATGGAATATTTTGTATCACTAGCCAGTTGACATTCTGCATCCTAAGGGTCCTTTCACACGGGTGTTCTTTTTTTTCAGTTTTTCATCAGTTTACATCAGTTTTTTTGCATCCACTACCAATGCAAAAAACAGACCATTTGTCCATTTACAACCATTAAATCTGTATTTGGAATACAATAATGAAAATGAGCAACAATAAACAGGTACAAATGTTAAAGTCACAAAGTTGAACTGCTTTTAGGTAAATACTGGACTAAAAATATAAAATGGGCACTAACTGAAAATACAGTGTTGCTGTTGGCAAGCTTGCTGTTAAAGGAGGTCTCCGGCTAAAAGCCGAAAACTTAAGCCTAGTACACACAATCAGAAAATGTATGAAAAAATACTGCTTTCGAAGAGATTGCGCGATAATCTGAACATTAGTATGCAGCTCTAGTCTGAAATTATTTGCAGGGACAAGCGCAAACATTTTTCTCATACAATACTAGATCGTACGATTTCCGTTTAATCAGTATAGTTGTCCTCCTGAAATACAATACAAATACATTACATACCTTCCAAATTTTCTTTCTGTCGTACAAGAATTTTCGCAACTTTAGTAACCACTTAAAAAAAAGGAGTTCAATCAAGTTTTGTTTAACTTAGTATTCACCTGTAGGAGTCTGACAAGGTAACAAAGCTGAATTCTTTGGTGCTGTAGATAATGAGATCTTCAGACATCTTAGAAAGATGAGTCATGCAAAGAGAGGCCCAGAACAAAAATTCAGCTGAAACAAATCATTAAAATAACAAGTTATTAAAATAAAACTTTTTAAAGCAGGTTGGTTTTTAAAGGAAAATTAAATACGTACCTATAAAGTCCCGCTCACTAGTTGCATCCATGCTATTTAGACTGACAGAGTCAAACTTGAGTTCTATTGGGAAAAATGGAGTATAAATATAAAAACGTATGATCTGATAAAGGTGTAAAATAAAAAATGCTTAAAGTCACAGCAACCAAAGAATACATTTTACAGGAGCCAAACCAGTCGAGTTCTGACAGAGTGCTGCAAGTAGTGCTTTTGACACTTGATGCTTTGTAACTTGCATTGCTCCGAAAAATAAAGCACCTAAATATATCTGCCTCCTAGTTTATGTGTCAAGAGGACAGCCCTTAATAAAGTAAACAGGTTTAAAATTACAATTCAGTTTTTGGCACGCACTGGTTAGTTGAAATATAGACATCATTTTCCTATATTTATGAATACTCCAATGTCAAGTTTTCCTGCAATAGCTTGCATCTGTGCCAAAACCATAACAAATACATTACAGCTGAACTCTTCAATTAATTTTACTTAAGGTGAAACTTTACCCATAACAACAAAAAATAATGTTCTTCAGCAAGAAACATACAGTCCACATTAATAATTATGCTACCAAAATTAGTGTGTGATGTAAAATTGCCTCCAGTATTGTTCCTGTTTCTCCTTGCTAGAGGCTGCCATTTTACTGAAGCCCACAGCCCCTAAGCAGCAGTAAATCTTTAGGCTGTCAGCAGATCAGCCTCTACATTTTTGGCACAGTGCCTAAAAATAGAGAGCAAGTGAGCATGTGCAGAGCAGGGTGAGACAGTGTATTACTGGATTTTAAATAGTATACACTTTTAGTATTTGCAATGGTTTACATAGCTATACCTGCAAAAGGGGGCAGTCTAAAATCAAATTAAGTCCTGCTAGATTACTTCAAAGTTCCACTTTAAAGCAGCATCCATTAAGTGATCATGACAACATAATTTTGTCTTTGCAATGGATGTGAGAGCTAGACAAAATTTAGGAATTTAAGTTGAAATATCCTGAGATATGCAAGAAATCTGCATTAAAGCAGAACACCAGCCAAAAACAACAAGAAAAAAAAGGATTAGTATAAAATAACAAAAATAGCATTTGCTGCGATATATACTTTTGATCCCGAGATTTCCCCTGCAGTACTGCTGCTAGATGTCCTCAGTCTCAGGACTAACATCAATCAACCCACTTCTCTAAGCCCAGGTTATCCTGGACCCACCCCATCCTGTGACTGGACAGTAAAAGGAGAAGCAGCACAGCGATGAGCTCTATCACTATGCTTCCCCCTCCTATCAGCATGCTTATCAGCATGAACTGATTGGCTCTTTTAGCTGCCTTTGCTTCTCACTCTCCAGCCCTCAAGTACAGCGACTGCAAGAAGCTAACACCAGGTCAGGTACTTACACTGCCTGAATTAAAAAAAAAAACAAAAAACTTTTAAATGATCTATTAGTGAATACAGAGCTACATTAATGTGTGCCTTTTATATCTTCCTACAGTTCAGCTCTAACCATGAAGGTGCATCAATACACTACACTATAATTTCTGTTCCTACTACCCTATACACCAGCAAAACAGAAGGGGGGATGGATGTCCATGGGGAGCCAGAACACAATGACTCCTACATGGAAGAAAAATGTATTTGAAATATGTTTTAAAAATATTCTTCCCAAATATATTGCCATAGATTTGAAATGCTCCAATTTTGGCCATATTCAATAAACACACACACACACACACTTCAATCTACATTTTTGGAATGCATTTACGAATATATGTAAAGTATATGTTATAATTACTTTTTTATATGTTAAAAAAAAATCTGAAGAATATATTTTAAATAAATATTTGTTAAGTTTATTCTTCAGATTTTTTTTTTTTTACATATAAAAAAAGTAATGTTAACATATATTTTTACATATATTTGTAAATGCATTCCAAAAATGTCGATTTGTAATTTTAAAGACATACAGTATATTAGGAATATATTTTTAAAAATATTTATCATATATTTTGTAATAAAAAACACATTTCAACAATACAGGAGGAGAGAGAGAGAGAGAGAGAGAGAGAGAGAGAGAGGGAGAGAGAGAGAGAGAGAGAGAGAGAGAGAGAGAGAGAGAGAGAGAGAGAGAGAGAGAGAGAGAGGGAGAGAGAGAGAGAGAGAGAGGAGAGAGAGAGAGGGAGAGAGAGGGAGAGAGAGAGAGAGAGAGAGAGAGAGAGAGAGAGAGAGAGAGGGAGAGAGAGAGAGAGAGAGAGAGAGAGAGAGAGAGAGAGGGAGAGAGAGAGAGAGAGGCAAAATTGTAGCATTTCAATTATATTGCAATATATTTGGGAAGAATATTATTAGAATATATTTCAAATATATTTTTCTTCCATTTGGGTTACTGCTAGCGGATATAGCTGTAGGCAGTAATCACATGCTAAAAATCCCACAGGATGGTTGTACCCAAGTCGATCAATAGATTGACTTAAGTATAATCAGCTTACCCATTTATGATACGAATCTCTGCCAGTCCCTGCTGAACCGGCTGAGATTCAATCCATCTATGGGCGACTTAAGCAAAACAAAAAATAATTGAATGTGTTTTTAATGGGCTCATGCATCCCTGTTGGCAAAACACAATAGAGCTGCGGGAGGTATTCCCCCATCAACACTGACTGTGTTGATGGGGAAAATTGAGCAATTTTCTTTCCTTCCACCCATGGTAGAAGGAAAAGAAATCAAGTAATCTATGGGCTGCTTAGAGAAAAAAAAAAAACTGCGATTGAACATCACTAGTGGAGTAATCACAGTTCAATATGCATGCTGGACACTACTCAGAAAGCTGCATGGCTGCAGGATATGCAGTATATTGTGAAAGGTTGAGAGACTTTTTGCCAGGTAGCATAATTTCAAAAATGTAAAGATAATAGGGTGCCCATCAGTATTCAAATGGAACATCACAAATTTAACATTACATTTGTATATGTATATATACCTTTGCGTAGAAGTTCCCTGTCTACTCCTAAAGGGTTTCCAGCTATTGCACCACTGGAATAAAAAAAAAAACACCTCTTAAGAAATCAAACAGTAAGAATATAATTTCATAAGATTCCAGGGAAAAAACAATAGCATAATTTTCCACCTTAGCAATAAAACAATAAAATGTATTATTAAATGCTTTTATTTTATGTAGCCAATTGGTTCCTGCGCTAAAAGCCATAGAATTCTTGTGATCAGCATTCATGGTCTCATGCTGCCATCATTGCCACCATTATTGCTTCGGAGGTTTGCTGAACTCAAGACAAACTGATAATTACTCATATAATAGGGAGCTTTTTATCAGTCAAAAGATTTGTGTTTCTGTCCATCTAGTTCTGAGCATAACATAGCTCCAAGGCCCCAATTCAAGTATCTTGTAGCAAAAACTTAGGTTCCTGCTAGTGTTTTTTTTTTTTAGTGATTTACAGGCATTTCTGTGTGTCGCACATAGGGCAGCCCATTCCCTTGAATGGACTTACCTACACACATTTGTTGTGGCAAAGAAGCTCAGGGACCAAATTTGTGAGCCAGGCATGCTTTTACATACATGTTTTCCCATGATTCTTGTGCGTGTTGTCACGCAGAAATAGCACACTATTTAGGATGAACAGCACTCATTTTGCAGCAATTTTAGCGCAATATGGCATAGCAGGCAGAATTCTGCTTGCAATTCCAAAACAACTAAGTTTGAACAGGTTGTAAGAAATAGTTTTGGCAAGGAACGAGACCTGCAATTTCTCTGCTCTAGTTAAGTTACACTTATAGGTCTTGTTCCTGCCCCAGACTGTGAAAGGAAAAGCAGAAGGCTATTGGGCTCATCTCTTTGTCACTCTGATGTCTCGTCCTAGAATAGTGTCTTGTTCACATACAAGCACTGCACTAGAACTGACTGGTCATTTGTGCTGCTTCACCCTCTACCTTTCTGAGCTCTGTTGTACACCGGATTGCTAGAGGCTGATATAAAGTCAAAATGTAGCTACTTAAATTGGTAGCATTTTAAAAAAAAAAAACAATATACAGTTAATGAATATTAAATACAGAGCTGCATTAATTTGTATATTTTATTTTTGCTAGATGCGTTGCTGTTGAAAAGAACTCTTAATACATCTGAATATACATAACAACTACATCTCCATAGGTTTTAATATATCCTTCATTAGGACAAAAGTGGGACTTTCATGGTATCAATAATATATAATTTCTTATAAATGTAATTCATCATCTCTTTCTCTGCTGAAGCATGTTTTGTTTTTAAATTTTTTGCACACGTTTTTTGACCTCAAGATTATATTTTTTGTTTTTGAAAGCAATGGTATTGTAGAGTAAATTAATGTTATTTGCAAGTTTGTATGTTGCATGGCATTTTTATTTGTGCAGCTGTTTAAATATATATATTTTATTGAAAATATATAGGTTTTGATAAAGTGTTACAAAACCCAGGACTCTGGGTTCACTATATCTGGTCTCCCACAGTACACAAAACATGGAAATGCAATTATTAGTAAATACAAACTGCTAAATACCTTTTCTCATCAGTCAGTCCTCATCTCATCAGTGTCCAGCTGAGCATTGGTTAAAGCTTGTAGGAAGAGTTTTCATTCTCCTCTCATTGCCCTATGAGATTGTATATACCCCTGACTCTGTCTGGACAGTGCTGACTGGCCATGTGCTGATTACATGTACCCTCCAAAGAAAAGGAAAAAACTCTGGCAGTATACACCAAACTGAGCATGTGCAGAGTGTGCCCCGAAGCTGTGTTCTATCAGGAGATGAAATGGGGAATGTGAAATAAGGGGGAGGATCAGAGAAGACAGGATCAAACATCCTTTTTACACAATGCAGAGGATTAACCTCCTAGGTCCCACAGTGAGTATAACAAGCATGCTTTACTGAATATACAGACTGATTTTACTGTTGTGGGTTTAGTAACACTTTAAATGAATTTTAGAGTCCACAAAACACAATATAATTACCATTTTTTAAGACATTCAAAAGATGAGGCTGTGTGGAAAATAGATACCAAACATATCAAGCTTCAAAATTGCCTGCATCTGCGAAACAGCAAACAAACAAAAAAAAAATACAATAGACAAAATTGTCTGTTGCAAACGCTTTAAAAGCCTTTATAGTTCATCAGCTGACCAACCCGGTAAAAAGAGATCAGATTTACACCCGCAAAGGCTACAAGCCCATAAGAGATGATGTATATACAGTACTAATAAAATTTACTTTTATAAAAATTTAAATTGATAGATTTTTTTTTCTTTATTAAAAACACCATGAATGTCCCTCAACTATTCTAATGAAGGATACAGTATGTTGTTTATATCTTTTGGAAGTTCAGCTTTAAAAAAAAAACCTGTAAAAAGTGGTGCCACGTCCTATTTCTGCATTGCCTCCCTAGTTCACCATTGCAGCTACCTGAATATTACATGCAAATACAAACTCTCTAAAGGTTGTCGATATCCATACTGCTGTGACAACACATCAGGATTCGGAATGGAGAAGAAGCATGAACTTACCTGGAAGCTAACGTTTTTAAATGGAGATACAGTGGCTCAAGAAGGAGGCAATGCAAATTTAAGATGTGAGTTAGAAGGAACTCATTGCAATAGGAGCACTGGTTTTCAGAATTGGAAACAGTCACAAGGTCTATGCATTTTGGTCCCTCAAACAAATTACAAAATTAAAGATTAATAAAAATAATATACCATGCAATGTCACTGCACATATGCAATATTACAAATTCTAACTGTTCTCCTACACTCAGCCTACACGCTCCATTATTATAAATGATTGAACTAGCATGCATGCTGGGCAGATGTGACCTATAGATGTGGAAGTAACCAGATGTCCCATACAACAGGTGAATTACAACTTTCTGCAACAATATTTTATCTTTGAATAAACATACTTCCTTTCCATTCAAATGGGATTGTGTACTCTGTACACTTTACTAAATACATAATTTTGTATACATGTATAAGCAATGCTTACTTTGTCATAACTCTGTAATGTCCTTGTCTATAAGAGAGCTTAGATCTGCCTTGTTGGAAATCATGGCTTTGTGTTCAAGGGCCTATTGTAAAGTAGATCTTTCTCATTGCTAAGTACATCTAATTTAAAATAAATCGTAATACTTTTTTGATATGCAGTAACCTGACCCTCCGGCTACAGCTGGCTCTTTAATAATAATGTGCTGCTTGCTTTATTACAGCAAAATATACACTCACCGGACTCTCTATTAGGTACACCTGTTCAATTGCTTGGTAACACAAATTGCTAGTCAGCCAATCACATGGCAGCAACTCAAAGCATTTAGGCATCTAGATGTGGTGAAGACGATTTGTTGAAGTTTAAATCGAGCATCAGAATGGGGAAGAAAGGGGATTAAAATGATTTTGAACATAGTAGGGTTGTTGGTGCCAGATGGGCTGGTGTGAGTATTTAAAAAACTGCAGATCTACTTGGATTTTCAAGCACAACCATCTCTAGGGTTTACAGAGAATGGTCCGAAAAAGAGAAAATATCCAGTGAGTGGTAGTTGTGTGGACAAAAATGCCTGGTTGATGTCAGAGGTTAGAGGAGAATGGGAAGACTGGTTTGAGATTACCCCTGTTTTTAACGCATACTGTTAGACAGGTAATTTAGTTGTTGGCTAGCAAGTTGAGCTGGAAACTCTTTTCTTTTCTTTTTTTTACATGCGTTGCCTGTCCATGTGTTCCTTGATGTATAGGCCAGTTATAGACTGGGGCAGTGGCCATTTTTTTGTACTGTTGAATTGTTGGTGAGTGGGTGCACTGGACACCCTGGCTGCCATTGTGCTACATGTTGGGTGTCCAGTGTGCTCCTGTGCCTTTAAGGAGGGGTGGGCTCCCTCAGGTTCACCTGCCCTTGGTCTACCCATTAAATACATGTGCCTCTACTATGGGGGCTCTCAAAATTTGTAGAGTTAGGACCACAGAATATTGAAGTACCGTGACGTGGCTCTGTGGCTTATGTATGTATTTGCAAATGTGTGCTAACTAAACCCTCTGTTTTTAACGAATACTGTTAGAAAGGTTCATTTAATTGTTGGCTAGCTGGCTGGCAAGTTGAGCTGGGAACTTTCTTTTCTTTTTTTTTTGACATGCGTTGCCCGTCCATGTGTTCCTTGCTGTATAAGCTAGTTATAGACTGGGGCAGTGGCCATTTTTTGTACTTTTGTATTGAGATTATAGAAAGACAACTTTCTCAAATAACCACTCATTACAACCAAGGTATGCAGAATACAATCTCTGAACGCACAACATGGTAAACCTTGAAGCAGATGGGATACAGCAGCAGAAGACTCATCTACTGCCACTCCTGTCAGCTAAGAACAGGAAACGGCAGCTACAATTCACACAGACTCACTAAAATTGAACAATAGAAGATTGGAAAAATGTTGTCTGGTCTGAGGAGTCTCTATTTCAAATGCAACATTCAGATGATAGGGTCAAAATTTGGCGGAAACATGAAAGCATGCATCCATCCTGCCTTGTATCAACGGTTCAGTGGTGGTGTAATGGTGTGAGGAATATTTTCTTGGCACACTTTGGGCCTCTTGATACCAACTGAGCATCGTTTAAATGCCATGGTCTTCCTGAGTATTGTTGCTGACTATGTCCATCCCTTATGACTACAGTGTACCCATCTTCTGATGACCACTTCACATGTCACAAAGCTCAAATTATCTCAAACTGATTTCTTGAACATGACAATCAGTTCACTGCACTCCAATGGCCTCCACAGTCACCAGATCTCAATCCAATAGAGCACCTTTGGGATGTGGTGGAACGGGCGATTCGCACCATGGATGTGCAGCCTAAAAATCTTCAGCAACTGTGTGATGCTATCATGTCAATATGGACCAAAATCTCTGGGAAATGTTTCCAACACATTGTTAAATCCATGCCATGAGGAATTAAGGCAGTTCTGAAGGAAAAAGGGGGTCCAACCTGGTACTAGCAAAGTGTACCTAATAAAGTGGACACTGAGTGTATGTATATGTTTCAGTGACTTTCCTCACTCTCATATAGAACTACAGCTGACACGGCTGTCTTTTACTTTCGGTTGTACAAGTTGAACTGGAAGAAGTAGTATTAATATGGATAGAGACCTAAATCTAAATGGCCCTGAGCTGCAGATCCATCTCCTGCAGATCAGTACATTATTATGTAAAACTCATCAGCAACAGTTAAGGAGTCTGTAGATATCAGAAGACAGTTGGGCAAGCAAGCATGATATGACAACCCTCAGGTACTCCAGTCCAATGAAGGCTTCTCAAAACAGAAATGTGAATGGAGTGGATGGAAAGGAAAGGGAGTAGAAAATTAGTAACACATGCAGAGATTGCCAATTGATTTTTTGTAAGGGTGGAACGTTAATGAACAGGGAAGTTTTCTAATCTGCTTAAATGACTGTTCACCCGAGAGCAGTTGGTTGGAAGTCATACACAAGGACAAAAATGATAAGGCAATGGTCTTCTGATCTACCAGTTTAAAGTTTCTGTCATTTCATATTAATTAGTGGTTATACAATAATTAAAAAGGCTTAGCAACTTAGAAATTCTGGCTGCTCATCTGAAGCAAGCAATGAGCCATTATTAATAAGCAGAGTCGAGGATGTGATTTGAGCAGAAGCAGCTCACTTGACTTTCAGCCTAAATTTGTGTCACTGCAAATCACATGCTGAATGATTTTCCAGAAAATACTTGCTTTCCACTTTTCATCCCAGAAGAAGCATTGGATTTCTTAGCGGCTTTCATCTCAAATGTATGCAAATAAATGATGAACCCTCCTAACACCATTTGACAGAAGATAAAGGTGACTGAACAAACCATTTAATATTTCTCATCTATAAAATTAGTCTGTGCCAAAGCTATAAAGAAACCTTACCTGCCAAGTGGCAAAACATTTATCCTCTTTCTTAGTTCTCCCAGTCTTTCTGCATCCCTACACAATGCAACTGCATGGCTGTACATAAAAGCACAAAATAATCAATATCCAAAACCACAAAACACACACACATATATATATATGTAAATACATAACTAAAAAACTGGAAATTTTGTGAACCAATAATAAAGTGAAAAAGACACAAAACATATACAAAAAACTGCCAGTGTGTGGTGGTCTGTTCACAACTTCTCATAATCTAATTACTTTTAAAAGAATGCTGTAAGCAGTCAGCGGTGGGGGGGGGAATGCATCGGGTACCAACAACTGTAGGGTGTTGTGGCAGTTGCAGCCAGTGTCATTTACTCTACTTGGTGGACCACCGATTCATAGAAACAGGTGACAGCTTCTGAGCGCCTGCATATTGGGTGCTCTAGTTCTGTATATAGTTTTGGCAACACAGAGCTGCACCTGGCTCCCAAGATGTCAGAAACCTAATAAACCTGCCCAATGCCTGACATTAAAGCTATCTACTATGCGTTGAAAAGTCAGAAGATGGGTCGAGAGAAGTCAGGACACACTATGATTGAGCAGCAATAATAATCCCCCATGCTAGTGGTCCAGCTAGGGATTCAACACCTGCTAACTTAAGCTGGAGCTTGGCTTGCATTTCAGCCAATTTCAGAACTGGCCATAATTCAAACTTGGGTAGTCCTGTCAGCATTACCTGGCTTGACGAAAATTTGGTTTTTCAAATCGACTATTGTCAAAAGAGCAAGGTAGAAAATTGTCAGCCGAACAGTGACTGCTTCCAGTCACTGTTCAGGCATTTAACAGCTGTGGATCCTGCTGGCTGCTGAATACAATAGCTGGCAGGGAGATTCTTTCATCTATGCTGTTTAGTGTGGATCAATTAATCTATAAGAATTTCTATGCTCAGACCTCGTGTATGACGAAGTGCAAAAACATACATACGTGCAATGTTAATCTTGTTAAGAAATACAAAACAAAAAAACAAAACTGTTTTAGTCACTTAGCCGAAAACAGGAAAATAAGACCTGAACACATTTCTGGCATATCTGCATAGAGATACACACTTTTTTTTCCCATAACATTCACTTTAATACTCACACTTTGTAACCTCACTTTTTTTTTCCACTGGCCTTATTCAAACATTTACATTATTCTGGGTGGTTTCACTTAAAGAAAAACATAAATAACAGACATTATATAGCTTTCCTTCGTCCTCGTATAATTCATAAATCTGGCACATTTATTACATTTCATCTTTAAAGAATAAAAATGTATGTTTCATAAATGTCTATACAGTGCCTTGAAAAAGTATTCATACCCCTTGAAATTTTCCACATTTTGTCATGTTACAACCAAAAACGTAAATGTATTTTATTGGGATTTTATGTGATAGACCAACACAAAGTGGCACATAATTGTGAAGTGAAAAGAAAATGAGAAATGGTTTTCAAAATATTTTACAAATAAGTATCTGAAAAGTGTGGTGTGCATTAGTATTCCACCCCTTTTATGATACCCCTAACTAAGACTTTGTACCACCTTTTGCTGCAATTACAGCTGCCAGTCTTTTTGGGGATGTCTCTACCAGCTTTGCACATCTAGAGAGTGACATTTTTGCCCGTTCTTCTTTGCAAAACAGCTCAAGCTCTGTCAGATTGGATGGAGAGCGTCTGAACAGCAATTTTCAAATTTCAAAGATTCTCCATTGGATTTAGGTCTGGACTTTGACTGGGCCATTCTAACACATGAATATGCTTTGATCTAAACCAGGGGTCTCCACACTGTCTAAACAAAGGGCCGGTTTACTGCCCTTCAGACTTTAGGAGGGCCGGAATGGCCAGTGGAAGTAGAAAATGTTCCAGCGTAAGTAGGAGTAAAAAAAAAAAAAAAAAAAAAAATAATATATATATATATATATATATATATATATATATATATATATATATATATATATATATATATATAAATAACATAGTGCTTGTAGTCAGTGGAAGGAGGAATAGTGTCTAGTCATTGGTATTAGTGGGAGGAATAGTGTCCCATCATTGGTGTCAGTGGGATGAATAGTGCCCCATCAATGGTGACACTGGGAGGAGTAGTGCTCCTTGATTGGTGTCAGGGGGAGCAAGAGTGCCCCATCATTGGTATCAGAGGAAGGAAATAGTGCCCCATCATTGGTATCAGAGGAATAAATAGTGCCCCTTCATTGGTATTAGTTGGAGGAACAGTATCTAATTGTTTATATCAGTAGGAGAAATTGTGTCCCATCACTGATGTCAGTAGAAGGAAACATGCCCCAAAGGTGGTGTCAGTGGAAAAAATGGTGCTTTCTTGTTGGTATCTGTGGGACGCATAGTTCCCTGAGGGCCAGATAGAGGCAAGCAATAATGCTGTTTGTTCACTAATGTTCTCTAACAAACATCTGAGGGCTTCACAGAACAGCTGTATTTATACTGAGATTAAATTACACACAGGTGGACTCAATTTACTAATTAGGTGACTTCTGAAGGCCTTTGGTTCCATAAAATTTTAGTTAGGGGTATCAGAGTAAAGGAGGCTGAATACAAATGCACGCCACACTTTTCAGAGATTTGTGTACAAAAAAAAAAAAAAAAATTTAAATCATTCATCATTTTCCTTCCACTTCACAATTATGTGCCACTTTGTGTTAGTCTAGCACATAAAATCCCAATAAAATACATTTACATTTTTGGTTGTAACATGACAAAACGTGAAAAATTTCAAGAGGTATGAATACTTTTTCAAGGCACTGTATATTGAATAAATGATGTCTCAATTAAAAAGTTATGCAATTAGACCAACCCAATTTACTTGAGTGAATATTTGCAGCATCAGTTAGAAACAATACAGACAAGCTATCTGAATTACTTCTGAACAGTTGCTCAGCTTGAAATTTAAAATCTGAAATATTTTTTTTTCTGAACCAAAGGTAAGAAAGTATTTTTAAAACTATAGGCTAGAATACCTCAGAATCCAGTGACTCCAACGTATAGGCTGAGCCCTCTGCATGTGGGTATAGCCTGGAAAAAGTATATCAACTTCTCTGAAATTAGAAAAAAATGTTTTTAAAAATTATATAATTATTTTAATAGGTTTAATTTATTTATATTCGTATGAACAGAACCCCCTGAAAACGTCAGGCTCTAAGAAATATACAGTCATACAAGCATGTGGTTGTAAACCCTTGCTTATGCCTCAGGTGATACAGAGATGAAACAAATCCTCCTCCTAAGTTGTATCTGTTTATCTTCAGTCCTCTCTTCTGTACATCGAGTTCAAGAATATTTCTAACTAGTTTGTCTCTTAAATTGGGGGCCTTTTTATATACGATTCTACGTTGTTCTGGTAAAATATCCACAAACAATGGAAATTATTAAAACAGGATAAGTATTTGAACAATATTTTACCAGAACAACCTAGATTCATATATAAAAAGGCCTCCAATTTAAGAGACGAACTAGTTGGAAATATTATTTACCCCCCAATAATTAAAATAGAACCAGTTTCTTCACAGGTGTAGGATTCTATGCATGTGGAAGGTGCTACAGCTCTAGCAGGGTTAACAATAATCCAAAAAGGAGATTTGCATTTACAAACCCAGTCACGGGTAAGGAGTATAAAATCCAGCAATTTATATTTTAGGGAGTTTTTAAAAATAACAGGTGACATTACATTTATGTTGCTTGCATACAACTTATAAAATAGAAGGTAGAACGGGGTTGGACACAAACATCTACCTCCCCTATACAATTACAATTTTCTATGTTCCCCTCCCTCCTAGATTGTAAGCTCCAAGGAGCAGGGCCCTCGAACCCCTCGTGTATCACACAGTATTGTCATTGCACTGTCTCATGTATTGTCTCCCATTGCAATGTACAGCACTGAGCGAACTATTGGCGCTATATAAATACTGTATAATAATAATAATAATAATGTTCATTGTATTGGTATTTTTTATTTCATTGTTGATATATTTTAACTCTATATGCAACATGTTGGTGTATTGTATTTAGTGTTAGTATATTAAGTACATGTACATTGTACATAATATACATTGTTTTATTAGAATGGAGCACAGCTTGTGCAGTAGTAGATACCATGCTGATAGCACAGGGGGAGGTACAATATAGGTAATTTATGCCCAGTTCAAATAAAAAGGTCTCATCTACGCCAGCAATATAGGTTGCATCTCACTGGCGGGCACAATTTACATAGGTTAACAATTTGTGTTTAAGTTTTTTTTATATAAGATTTTTATTGGCATCTATAAACAAGGTAACAGAGTAAGGGCATATGGCTACTCACATTTTAGGCTACAACAATATGGTGCACAGGCAGACCATATATATATATATATATATATATATATATAATATATATATATATATATATATATATATATATATACACACACACATATATATATACATATATATATATATATATGTGTGTGCCGTCCAATCATTACCCCTGATGAAGCTACGTGACCCAGTAATAATGCGTAGGGGAGGGGCTTTGACATCACGACGCTCGTAGGATAGGAGAGAGCAGTACAGCTGGCTGCAGATTAGTGGTTGGAGGATCCATACCAGTAGCAGTCCCTTTTTGGAGTTACTTTGTGAGACATGATATTATACATCATTCATGTGAGTGAAATACTGTATGTTGTTTTATCAATAAAATGTTTTGGTCATCTCTTTTTGCCATTTATCTGATGGAGGAGGACAGCTACGAGAGTGGAGGAGACTCTTGCTTATTTGACATCTCGGACATCTTATATCAGTCCATAGAATGGACACACGCTATATATGACCTGGTGCATATGACTTAGCAGTTTGGTCATATGCACCAGGTGAGAGCATGTCAAGTGGAGGTGTACACACATTGGTTTGCAGTGTATAATCGCACGAGGTGTTCTAAGAAGTTATTTGCTATTCAAGCATCTGTGAAGATATACAATACATACCAATATAGAATACCAACGCATGGACACTTTTTAAGAGACGTTTATGCTGATTGTTTTGGTTTAAATCAGAAGTGAAGTGTAGCACTTGATTGATATTTATATTATACAGGAAAAAAAAAAAAAGGCTGGGGGAGTTTAAATGACGGGGCTGAATCACTTATCCAGGAATTATTATTGTAGGTAAAATGTTGCAATAGGTATTGTAAAACATTGCAATGTATAAGTTCTGCATTTGCATAACTGAGACAGACAGAACTTATATTTGTACAGTGATGTGTGATCAGACTCTGGGATTGTTTTTCTTTATTTATATTATTATTATATTTCCTGTTATACTTTTTTTTTGTCTTATTTGATTCCCATTTTTTCCTCGATAATATCTTCAATTTATCATAATTGCTGCACACAAACAACTTGTTGAGGTCTAAACTTTAAAGAAAAGGAAAAAGTAAGCCAATCTGTGCCCTTCAAAGGATAAGTTCACCTTTTAGACAAAAATAAGAATCTTTGCTTGGCCATATGGGATGTATGAGCAAGCAGATATACTGACAGGAAGAATCAATAAACTACCACAGCACTCCTCCCACGTTCCCCCGCGAAAGAAGGGACCTGGTGAGCAGCGGCAGACAGAGCCATGCAGGTCCGCCATCAGAGGGGTGCCACTGGTACACCTGTAGGGGGCCCGGAGACAGCAGCAGGATCGGTGTGGTGGGGGAGAGCAGTTGCAGAAGGATACAATGTGTATCTCTCCCTCCCGCAGCTGAAAGGAGGGGAGAGGGGGAGAAACCTCAAACCGGCTGTCAGCTTCTGCTGCTGGAGGGAGAGACAGACCTGGCCAGATGGAGGGGGTGCCCTGGTGTTCCGAGCGGCCCGCTCTCCGCTGAGCTCCTTCCCCCGCCCGAACTCAGAGCCAGGACCAGGGGGAACGCCTGGAGCAGGGAGAGGAGAAGTGGTTGAGAGGAAAGAGCCCGGAGGAGGTGAGCTGTGATGTGTTCCCTGGGCTCTCCCTCCACCACATGATACACTGATAGATCGTATGGGATTGCGCGCACACATAACAGTATGATTACCACCCCCTGCCCACATTTCCTGCTGGCCAGAGATCAGGAGCCCTTGGAGGAGGTGTGTGTGTGGTCCCATACGATCTGAGAGGAGGGAAGAGGGGGGAGGAGAGAGAGGGAGAGAGAGGGGAGAGAGAGAGGAGAGAGAGGAGGGAGAGGGGGGAGAGGGGGGAGAGGGGGGAGAGAGGGGGAGAGGAGTGGAGAGTGGGGAGGGGAGAGAGGGGGGAGAGGAGGGGAGAGGGAGAGAGGGAAGAGGGGAGAGGGAGAGGGAGAGAGAGAGGGGGTGGAGGGAGGGAGAGGGAGAGAGGGGGGGGGGAATCATATATACACCCACCCACACTCATTGAACTCTCTCATTGGGGGGAGGTGGGTGCGCACAATTTTTGTGTTGCCTAGGGCAGCACAGAACCTAAATACACCACTGCATGTGGGTGGCCATGCAGAACTTCTCCCTGTGCTATCTGTCAGGGGGGGGGCGGTGGCTATGGGAACATGTTACATGTTCCCCTCTAAAAAACACGTGGAACATGTAACATGTTCCCAAAGGTGAACTTATCCTTTAACAAAAGTTTCATCTAATAAATTTGAATATGGTTTGCAGTCCTTAAGTGTAATTCCAGACCTTGCCTTTTTCTTTTTTTTGTTGGATAGAACCGCTGTCAGAATTTTCTTGATGTAACACATAGGTTAGGGTGGTGTTAGATCAAATAGTCATTTAAATCCTTTATGGTGTGGTGGACAGAAGCTAGGCCTTTATGTTTTGGAATAGCAAGTAGACTGAGGCGTTTGGGTGAGAGCTCACTTCCTTTTCTAGTGTCTGTGATCATTGTAACAAGAAATGAGGGAAATCTCTCTAGAGGTAAAAGACTGCAAAAAGGTTCTTGAACTGTGAGAGAAGAGTACCAAAAGGATGAATCGGTAGAATGCACACTTATAAAATACTTTTTTTTTTTTTTTTTTATTAGTGGTTAGTGAAATCGTGTCAGGGTTTTTAAAATTTCATTTCATTAGACCTTCAGTATAAACCATGTAAATGAGCTTGAATGGCAGGGACATTGCTCCTTTAAAGGATTACTACTTCTCTGCTCTTTCAGGAAGCACATATTTACTCTGAAGCCTTGAAGAAGGGGGATTTCAAAACCCCTGAAATGGGTTGGTTACCAACCACTAATAAAAAATGAGTATGTTGTATCTAATCGGCTTACTAATCCATCCTTTTGGCACTCCACTCTCTTTTATACTTCAAGAATTTTATTGCTGTATGTGTCACCACTTGGGATCTCACAACAGTGATCACTGACACCAGCACAAGAAGAAAGCGGAATCTTGTTCTTGTGTACTTGTTGAGGAGATTCCCATCAATTCCTGCCTCAGACCATTTTGAATTATGGGAAGGACATCTTCTATCTGCCCCTAGATCCATGCTAACTTTCTGTGGTGTGATAATTTTCACAACACAATAGAAAAGTAAGGCTGCCCTTACACCTATGAGGACAGTAGGGTGGGAAAACAACATCCATATGTCATTTAAGTGGAACTGCACTGCATCTACCACAAACCAAAAATGCTATACAATTCATTTTTAATATTCAAAACAAACTCCTCCAGGCATTAATCCATGTCTCCATGCTTTATTTTGCTGAGAAATCATTTTGAAAAACACCTCCTGGCATTTCTGGTAGTGGCCATCTTGATTAAGGGCCGATGATTAATGTAACAGTTACTTCCTGGAATCTATCTGTCCTTAGCTCAGGCATTGCTTAAGTTGTGAACCCTCCCTCCTGAAGACTCCTGGGATGTATGACATCATTTGCCTAGGCATGGAAACCAGGAAGTAAATGAATGAATGCAAAAAAAGGTTAAAACAAGTAAATATGATATGCTTGCCTATCTATTCACTAATGCTAGCAGCATAAGGATTAAAAATAGTCCATGTTGATTGAGAGAGTGAAGTTTTGCTTTAAGCATCATGGCTGAGTTGCGGGTAGATAAACTGGAAAGATTTACTTTGTAATATATGAATGGGCGAAGGAGAAGACCAGTGCTAACAGTGACGAAGGCTGGCCATACATTATACAATTATCTTCCAATTTTCTGCCCAATTTCCTTTAGATTTACCTTCAACTGTGTAGTGCAAGGGCCTGCCTAATTGGATACAACTGAAAGTGTTGTTTAGGTTTGTCCTCCTATTATATGGTTTTTGGTAAATCTAAACCAAAAATCTCCAGATAATTGTATAATGTATGGCCAGCCTAGGCCGGGTTTTTCCAGCCTATGCAATCAATTGTTTCCCTTGACTTTAATCAGCCACAGATCTTTCCAGGTTTGGTTCATTTCAGGTGTTGTAAATGGGAGCATGATTTAAATGTTTATAAATATGCAAATACAAAGAATATTAATAATAAAGACAAACAACTAAAGTTGTGCATTAAGTGTGCAACGGATAATAAAAAATATGTTTTTTGTGCACAAATTTACCTACACTTTAACAAAAAAGGTTTTAGAAAAGTGCTATTTTAATGCAAGACAAACTGAATGTAGCCAAACAGTTCATGTTGCCCAATTACAATGGTGATAACGTAAGGACATTGGTCTGTAAAAGTACAAGGTTACATTTCTTACAAAAACAGGAGTGGACCATGAGCATTCATTATGTTGTAAGCAGCAGGGTCATAACCTGCTTGTTTGTAGGCAGTGGTCCTGCATTTCCCAATCACTGTAATGCTGGCCGCCATTTATTTTTCTTTTCTAAAGAAAATGTTGCATCAATATTTTTGGCTTTTTCAATAAATGTACTCTATATACATTATTCCAGTGCTGGTGCAATAAGATAAGCTCCACACACTGCTGAGTGTTTGTCAGTGTAAAATTTGTTTTTACATTTGTAGCAAGTTACAAAACTGCTCCCAAATGACTGACCACGTTTCCTTGATTCTGCATCTCAGCATATGCAATGCCTATATAAATAATTCACCCCTTGGGCCTATTCATGTAGTCAAATTATTTCATGTGACGAAAAGGATAGGTTCACCTTTAAAAAAAAATAATAAATGCACATTTATTTAGAGGTAAAAAATTAGCATTTATTATTTTTTTCTTGGGAGCCTGTAAAGAATTGAGCTCACAACTGGCAAATCACAGGTGCAATGTCAGGCTCTTGCAAACTCTCAGTACATTGTCTGCCCATACCTCCCAGACAGACAGACGGTTACTGAAATCCAGGAAGCCCAATGGACCACGAGAGTGTTCACCAGTGCCCATGCAGTTCATAGAGAACTACAAGCTGTGAGCCACAATGGCTGACTACACTTGTAGACATTCATTTAGAGAACTCTGTGAACTCTCTGAATGGCGTGGTTGTGTGAGCAGAGCCCCCCATGGCTACGCTGTCCTCAAATTGTGACAGCGGATGTGGGGAGAAGGTTCTCTGCCTGCTGTCACAAGGAGTGAGTGGATCAGGGGGAGAGGAAGTGGATGCTCTACATGTTACACTCTATATACAGTTGTAACATGTAACATGTCAAGAATGGTGAACCTATCCTTGAAGTATAAACACATGTGCTTCTAGGAGGTCAAACTTCTGGAGAGTCAATATCATGGCATAATCTACACCATTAGGGCAAAAGAACATGTCAAGCAATTCCTTAAAGGATAAGTTCACCTTTGGAACATATTACATGTTCCACCTGTTTTTAGGGTGGAACATGTAACACGTTCCCATAGCCGCAGCCGCCACCCCCCTCTTACAGTCTTCTCCCCGTACTGTCAAATTTGAAAACAGCGCGCCCCTGCTCTACCCACAAAGTCGCATCACTCATTCACGGACATGAACAAACTGCAATTTTCGACAGCCCTAGCAGTTGTCGGCTTGTAATTTTCAATGAACTACCGTAGTGCTGTGGAGCGCCATGGTAGTTCATTGAAGCTTTCTGTTAGAATATGTGCTTGCTCGTACATTCCGTATGGCCAAGCAGGTATTCTGACAGGTCTGCAGGAGACCTAAAGGGCATCAGCAATCTACTGATCACTCGTGCAATGCTTTCCAGACTCCTGTAGACAAGAATAATAAATGCAATTTTTTTTTTTTAACCTGCAAAAAAATGTGCATTTATTATTTTTGTCTAAAAGGTGAACTTATCCTTTAAAAAGGCGTTTTAAAAGGTTGATTCAAAATGCTCAAGTCTGACTGTAATCCAGCATAGGGACCATCATCAACTGACTCCTATCTTGCCAAGGCCCCCTTCCTTTCCTCAAAATTACCTCCTAACCCAGCAATGGGCAAACTACGGCCCGCCCGCGGACCTTTTAATCCGGCCCGCGGAGCTAGGCTCCCGCTAGGCTCCTCTCACAGTCCGCCCTGAAGACCGGTGTAGCCTGAAAATCTGTCCCCCTCGACGTATCTGCGCATGTGCCGGAGATCGCCGATCGGCTGCTAATGCCTGAAACTGGCACATGCGCAGATACGTCGAGGGGGACAGATCCTCATAGGAGACAGATTTTCGTGCTACACCGGAGCGGCGCGGGAACACGGCGAGAGGAACGCGCGGAGCAAAGGTAAGTGAATTGACACAGGGGGGACTTGGAGGACTTATATATGGGGGATGAATTAATATGGGGGATGAATTACTATAGGGGGGATGAATTACTATAGGGGGGATGAATTACTATATGGGGGGATGAATTACTATATGGGGGGATGAATTACTATATGGGGGGATGAATTACTATATGGGGAATGAATTACTATATGGGAATGAATTACTATATGGGGAATGAATTACTATATGGGGAATGAATTACTATAGGGGGGATGAATTACTATATGGGGGATGAATTACTATATGGGGGATGAATTACTATATGGGGGATGAATTACTATATAGGGGGGATGAATTACTATATGGGGGATGAATTACTATATGGGGGATGAATTACTATATGGGGGATGAATTACTATATGGGGGATGAATTACTATATGGGGGATGAATTACTATGCTTACTATGGGGGAATATTACTATACTTACTATGGATGACACATACACATCATTCATCTACTCTTGGTCCGGCCCCCGGGTCCAATATATGAACCCATTGCGGCCCTCAAGTCAAAAAGTTTGCCCACCCCTGTCCTAACCTGAATACACTTTTACCTTTTTCATGAAGCTCTCCTTACCCTCATAACATCACACCCCGCCCTTTAACTTTTCTCCCTGCCTATTCTTTCCTACTCTTTTCTCCTTTTATCCCTCTACACTCCTGTAATACTCAGTTCTCTTGTGGGTAATTTTGTAAACCCCTGTGCACACACCAACCTTAAGAATTCCAAACACATACACCACCCATGATTCACTAGTTAGCGATACCACATACTAACTGCTTTCTTTTCATGCCTGAACTGCATAGCACATAAAGAAATTTACTATAGCAGAATAGACTACACAGCCTTCACTTACATTGCTGCTCTGTCTACCATGGTCCTGATCAGACGTGTCAAATGCAAGTAAAGAGCAGAGCAGGAATCTCGCAACCACAACCTCATGTCTGTTACAACCTGTGAGGAAAAAAAAAAAAAAAAAAAAAGAAGAACACAGATGTAATACTTAAAGTGTACAAATATACCATTGGAAGTGTTTTGTTGTATCTGTTTAAAAAATACCTACATGTTAATTCTGCTGTGCTAATAACTTCCTATACCTTCTGCAACTGCTGCCACAATAAGCATTGCTCCTGGTTCACTCTATTGACTACAGAATACTTCCCCTATGTTATGGAGAAGAGACCAGGTGAAGGTGTTCTGTAGTTCTGTCAGAGGGTGACAAAGCTGTTCTTCCATGGATGCAGTGAAGTGAGTAAGCGCTCTCAGCTTAGGACAGAAATGTGTTAGGCCCCATTTACACTTGCCAATACGGCTGTGCGTGATATTATACCTGGCGGTTAGTTACAGGAGGCAGCCGCATTGAAAGCAATGCTGAAAGTTCCTACAGCTAAAATGTGGCAGCTCGTATGTAATCACTCATTGAGCGATTTTCCTGAAAATGATAAACCCTGGATGCAGACAGCCTGCATCCAAGGCCCATCACTTGCAGGTAATTTCTCCATGAGCATTAACATGCAAACGGCCGTGATTAGCTGCAGGAGCTGTTGCTTCCCATTGCTTTCAATGGAGCTGTCTTCTGAAGCTAATCTCCAGGAGCCTCCACTTATGACTGCACATAGGCCCCATTCACAAATATATTACCATACTATTTACAGTATCTCACAGAAGTGAGTACACCCCTCACATTTTTGTAAATATTTTATTCTATCTTTTCATGTGACAACACTGAAGAAATGACACTTTGCTACAATGTAAAGTAGTGAGTGTACAGTTTGTAGAACAGTGTAAATTTGCTGTCCCCTCAAAATAACTCAACACAGCCATTAATGTCTAAATCGCTGGCAACAAAATTGAATGCACCCTTAAGTGAAAATGTCCAAATTGGGCCCAATTAGCCATTTTCCCATGAATATCAACATGTACTGTGACATACTGAAGCAGAGCATGATCCCCTCCCTTCGGATACTGGGCCGCAGGGCAGTATTCAAACATGATAACGACCCCAAACACACCTCCAAGATGACCATTGCCTTGCTAAAGAAGCTGAGGGTAAAGGTGATGGACTGGCTAAGCATGTCTCCAGACCTAAACCCTACTGAGCATCTGTGAAGCATCCTCAAATGGAAGGTGGAGGAGTGTAAGGTCTCTAACATCCACCAGCTCTGTGATGTCGTCATGGAGGAGTGGAAGAGGACTCCAGTGGCAACCTGTGAAGCTCTGGTGAACTCCATGCCCAAGAGGGTTAAGGCAGTTCTGGAAAATAATGGTGGGGCGCACAAAATATTGCCACTTTGGGCCCAATTTGGACCTTTTCGTTTAGGGCTGTACTCACTTTTGTTGCCAGTGGTTTAGACATTAATGGCTGTGTGTTGAGTTATTTTGAGGGGACAGCAAATTTACACAGTTAAACAAGCTGTACACTCAATACTTTACATTGTAGCAAAGTGTAATTTCTTCAGTGTCACATGAAAAGATAGAATAAAATATTTACAAAAATGTGAGGGGTGTACTCACTTCTGTGAAATACTGTATGTGCTTCTAGCTTCCCCCCCCCCCCCCCCCATTCGCTTAACATACCTATTCTTTTGCTTTGAATTAAATTGATTTAGCAACTACTCACAATGTTGTACCTTTTATCTAGATATGTGTCTTTTAGGAATGAACAGGACTCATTGCTTAAATCATTATAATCTTTCAGTTATTCCTGCCATCATGAAGGGTTTAAGTAATTTAAGGTTGAATATATTTTTTGAGAAAAAAAAAAAAAAGAAGAGAAGCACAAAACCTTTATGGACAAATAGAAGGCTCACATAGCCCTAAACAATATAATATACAGATGAATTTATCAGCGTGGTAACAATTGAAGCCATGAGACCAAAAGAGAAAACAGAAAATCCCACCAACTGTCATAAGTGAACACATATTGCCATAGTGCAAGATATTGAATACAAGTGCTGGGGTCATGTTGGAGTCTCATAATGTCCTTAAATATGCAGACCAAGGGGATATAGTAAGCTACGAGGAGATATATAAAAAAGAAAGAGGCAACAGGAAAAAGCGAGAGTGAAAGAGGAGAAAAAAAAAAAGAAATAGGAGGGTCCATACCGAAGCACAATATCGCAACAAAGGTTTAAGCAATTTAAATAGTGGCCTTCAAAAACCTTTGTTACAGTGGTGCAGATTTTCATCAATCTGTGTATATTCCATGTGTGTATTTGTGGGTAGGTTACAGGTGACTGCCAAAAGATATTCCTATCATGAACACTTCAAAAATACAGCAACAGAATAACTGACTTATGTCTGAATTAGCACTAGTGTGTGCATGGGTCTGCCTGACTGCTGGAGAAAATAACATTTTGATTCCACTGGGGCATAATATGCTGTGAACAGAGTGAAAGAAATAATAGGCTACTATGTCTGCAAAAAATAATAGGCTATGAAATAAAAAGGTTATACCACAATAACAAAAAGTGCATCAAAGAATGGCAGATACCTGATCATTTCGGCTGCGTCCAGTATGGAGCTTTCCGGCAGGTTCTCCTATTAGCTCCTAGACATAGGCAAGACAGGAGTGTTCATCACAGATATATGTAAACTTCCTATTTATTCAAATGTTGAATAGATTTCTAATTTGAAGTACAGAATCATTCATTGTGCATCCTTCCATAATGTATTGGACCCCACCTCTTGCCCTATAACTTAGCTACCATCAGGATTTAAGCTATATTGCATAATTATATGGTGGATACAAGGTCTCTGCAACAGCACTAATGTAGTAAAAAATGTCTCTGTGGTCTCTGTCAATGGTTCCTGGCTGGAGGTGGTAAAGAAAGGATTATTCCATGTCCATTCCAATTATACACAGAATGTGTAAAACGCAAAAGGATCTATTTTTTAAAAGGAGACGGAAAAAATGTTATCATAACCTTGAATTACGATTGCATCGAATAGAAAAGGAGGTTCAATGGGGTTGATTTACTAAATAGAATAGACTGCACTTTTCAAGTGCAGTTGCTCCACAGCTTAGTAAATGAGATGAGGCTCTGCTGACTTTCATTATTCAGTCAGGTGCAAGAAAAAAAAAGATTTTTTTAAATTTCCTTTGCATGTGATTCGGTGTTCTTTGTAAAGTGAAGCTGCACCTCATTTACTAAGCTCTGGAACAACTGCACTTGCAAAGTGCACTGTCTATTTACCTTTCGTAAATCAACCCCATTGTGTAGCATTCTGTATTAAATAGATCTTCTACACACATGAGCTGGTTAGTTCACAAGGATTATGCAGTCACAGTGTATGACCAACTGAAGAATAAAGGGCAGTAATTCAAGGCAACCAATGTGTTGCTGTGGATTACTATATTTTGTTAAATATATAGGTCACTGGTTTGCAGAGTACAATGGCGTGCTTTAACCAGGGACGGACTGACAACTCATGGGGCCTCCGGGGCAATAGAGGATCATGGGGCTCCTGTGTCCTTGCCCAAACTCAAAAAAAGCTTATGAAAAAAAGGTACCAGGGGCATCTCATTTAAAAAATATATATTTTTTAAATATATTCTTCAGATTTTTTTTAACATATAAAAAAGTTATTTTAACATATATATGTAAATGCATTCCAAAAATGTAGATTTGTATTTTTAAATACACAGTATATTTGAAATGTATTTTTAGAAATGTTTTGTAATAAAAACGCATTTCAACATGCAGTGTGTGTGTGTGTATATTTATTTTTTTCTTGAAAAATATATTGAATATGGCTAAAATTGTAGCATTTCAAATATATGTCAATATATTTGGGAAGAATATTTTTAAAATATTTCAAAATATATTTTTCTTCCATATGGCAATGAATGGATAATTGCAATAGTTTGTTATTTATATCTGCCTGCAGTTTAACTATAATGACACATATTTGTAACAATACTGGAGGCGACAAACCCTGTCCCTGGTCCCACCTCGTACTGTGGGTTGGACAGAATAAATATTCTGTAATAAGATTAAAAGACTATCCTTGTGACTCATGATAAATGCCTCATGTCATTAATATGGCTTAGTAAAATATATTCTAACTGTACAGGATAGGTATGTGAGTGTGGTGTCTGATGGTCTGTTATTAAGCAAAAAAAATAATTCGCTAAACACTAAAAGGGAGAATACCAGCCTTAAATATATTAATGGAAAACGTTAAAGCTGTTGTAGAAGTTACATTTTTTAATTAAAATGACAAACAGGTTATACTTACCTGTTCTGTGCAATGACATTTCACAGAGCGGCCCTGAACCTCCTCTTCTGAGGTCCCTTGTCAGCTCTGTCTATTCCTCCTCTGCTATGTGGGTAGGCATTTGGGCTTACTCCCAGACCGGGCGGTGTGTGTCCATAGACACAAACAGGGCAGCTCAGTCATGCCTCCTGTTTCCTCCTCACAGGATTTTATTGACAGCAGCAGAAGCCAATGGCTCCAGCTGCTGCCTCTGTGTCCTGCAAGGAGAGGAACACAGATAAGTGCTGCTGCAAGATAGGAATGGCACTCAAGAGAGGGCTCAGGTAAGTATTTAGAAAGGTGAAGGGGAAATGGTCAGAAGTGCAGTGGAATCGGCTACAGGTATGTTAAATAAAAATAGTTCACAGTCAAACATTTTATGTAAAACAGAACTTTTTGATTTTTAGTCCTTAATGCCTCATCAATAAAAGAAAGCTATTTAACCAGGTATGGACATTGGCATACCAGGTAAAACGTCATCAAAATCCCCTGGATGAAAGTTGACCAACATTCCCACATCCAGCTGTCATTTTGACTGTCTGGTGCCTTGCTGTGTTGCAGAAGTGCTGACAGTAGCTCAGGTAATAATGAAATCTATTGACACTGGCAAAAATTAACGACTAAATGAATGGTTACCTTGAGGCGGCGTTCATTGGCAGTATGAATATCCTCGTCAGCTTTTGTCAACACAAATGTGCCTGTAGACCATTCCTCATGGATCTGTAAGGAATGAATAAACAAGGTTTCATACAATGTATTTCACAAATGCAGAAACGGTCAATACTTCTAAACCCCATTCTGGTTGTAGTATGGTACTGTATTATACTGCAAGTGAACAGTATAGAGGTATACCTATAGTCATGCTGATATAAATTGAAAGGAACCTGTCAGGATCCAAAATATGAAAACCTGTAAATGCCAACTTGTTTGAGAGTTTCAGAATTAAGTAGGCAACCAGTGAAGTCATGAGTCCTGAGCTGAAAACTTGTCATAAATAAGTGTAGCGCTACCCTATTGATGGCCGCCATTTTTGAGTTTTTTGGGTTCCCTTAAGCTTTGCACAGCCAGGCAACATGCATTTTCCCACACTTTCATCCACAGTCCGTAAACAGTCCATGAGCTTGGTTTTTGTTGTTTTATTATGAGTTAACAATTTGGATAGGGTAAATGGGTTAAGGGATGCAAACCTTGATTGAAAAGCAGAATGAGGCATTTCCTGGTCTAGCACACTTAGAAAAAAAAACAACAAACACTTGACTGTGTTCCAGGCAGGAACCACAGTCCTTAACACAGCATTCCTCTTCTAGGAGCTTGATGTCCCCTGAGTGGAGTTTTAGCAACGTTACAATGTGTAGGAGCTTTGGTCCCCTTAGTGCACAGAATACCAACCCATCTGGCTATCTGATCTCAGGACATGGAATTGTGTAAGCTATGAACTGTACCTTGAAGACTCGCCAGAACTTGCATCCAGCAGACCTCTCCTTTCTAGGCCCTGGGAGTGTAGAGGTACTTGTCCTGCAGCTATGGATATAACTGCTTTCAAGCCTTCTAACTGGGCTAGTTCCTTTCCAAACTTTGCAGGCTGACCTCCCCTGGTGGACTGCAGGGCAGTAGAGCTATCTCTTTCAGCTTCCCTTCAGCTTCCAGCCTCCAGCCTGGAAGTAGAACCCCCCCTCCTCCAGGGCTCCCTCCCAGGCTATGCAGCAACACCTCTCAGCAATCCATCTTCCACCTGACCCTACTAGCATGGCTCACTCATATTTATGGGGTAGTCTACCACACTACCGGGTGCCGGAGCCTGGGATTGGTCATGAATACGCAGATTGAGGTCTCCACTCTTCCACCAACTGGCTTCTGGAAGCTTCCATGAACCTCCAAAAACCAAGTGGAGTGACAGAGTCCCAGCCTGCTGTTTCAAATGCAGAAAAATTCAAGAGCTAAGCCCTCATCTCCATCTCTAGTATAATCTAGCATGTCAGGATTTCTCGAATTTACTAATCTCGCTTGTGGAAGATTGTCAGGAGCAGCAAGAAACTGCTGGTCATATATGGGGTTTTCAAAGGATTCATATAGAATAAAAATACGATGGCATTGGCATAATGGACATCAAAGCAGAAAAATGCATTTGCTGGTCAACGGTCAACACAGATTGGTGTGGAGGTTCTATGCACATTGATTGGAGTGCAGTATCAGGATCTGTACAGAAAAGGACAAACTGGAGGAAGGTTGAGTATTTGAGAGGAAAATAGAGGTTTTGTAATGTGCTGCCAGGTACTGCCTTTTGTTCAGCAGAAGCCTTCTGGTGGGAATGGTTTTGATTCTAGGACAATTCCCAGGCTGAAATTCTAGGAATTTTCTCCAAAAAGAAAAGAAGATAGTTCTGGAGCCTCCTTCACCCCCCTGACATATTCTATTATTAGTCTTCTCATACTCCCCTTTCAGTTCCTCTATGCTTACAGTTACTCAATTGTTGCTGACACACTTGCCACCACCAGACACAGAACTTTTTGTGCCATCTAGTGTCCTTTTCCTACCCTCACATTCCCCAGATACAGTTTTTAGGACAATCTGGAAGCATCAATTCTGCTAGTAAAATGTATATTGAGACTGAGGAGTGGAGAGTGACAAAGGGAACTGATAGGAAGATCGCTTGCATAGGTACAACAGAACCGAGAAGAACCCTGGACCAAATCAGGATAATCTGAGAAGACCAATCAGAGTTGTCTTCTTGCTGCTAGGACTGTAAAAGATATACAATCCAGCCAGTCCATAATATCAGATGCACACAGTCAACAATCTAAAATGAATGGCAAAAATAGGCCAGATTAATGTTTTGTAAAAATAGTGGGGACAGTACCCATGTGTTGCTTCCCATACTCTGTGTGCCCCTGCTAACCTTTCTGGCCAGTGGAATTTTGTGTTTTGCATCACCCTTCTTTTACTGTAATGTCTTGAAATTCATCACTTATAGGTAATGCCTCACAGATGTCATGAACAGGAGTCTTTGTCTGGTAACAGGAGGACAACAAGGTGATTGCAGAAGTGTACCTTGGGGAACAGGCAGTAAAGGGTGCTGATGGAGCATGAGAGGTCAGACAGCTAGTTATGCTAAAAGTGTAGATTAGCCACAATATGCTATATCCAATGTTATATCACTACAATGTCTGCTATAGATAGTAATGTATATTGCAAGCAAATATGTTTTGTTATACAGAACCTCTGGAATTCTGCATTGATTGACTGATCTACCCAGGATACATTTTATGAGGAGGTCAACCAAGGGAACCACTGGTTATATTTATTTGCCAGTACCCACTATTATTCTCCAGAATTGTTACATTGTATATCTTCTTACAAAAACATATGTATTTCCTATGCTCTTCAGCTCCAACTAGTGGCCATAATGTGGCATTAATGTGGCCCATAAAACAACATTCCTTTAGAAGAGAAAAATTGCCTCATAACATTCCTTTTTGCGCAGTAGAAAATGTTCTCACTGGACAATTGTCTATGCTTTTTTTTTTAATAAATGGACCCCTATGTATTTTTCTTAGTGAAGGTTGCTTTCAGTTGTACTTTGCAAGAAAAAAAAAATTCAGCTGAGTTGGACAGCCAGATCTTTCCTTTGGCATCCAAACTAAACATCTGTATAGTATAGGGGAAAATCAAATAGAAATGGACAAATTACTTTTCATTCTCTTTGTAAGAACCAGGTGATCATCTCTAAATAAAGCATATTACCTGATCCAAGCCTGTTACAATTTTCTCCATTTCAGTTGAGCTTACAAGTCCTGCCTTTTCCAAGGCTTTTACATAAGCTTGACTTCCCCTGATGTCAGCTGACCACATCCTCTGGTCATAAGACACTGAAGAATTGAACATTTCCATAATGGGGTCTATGCTGCCAACAAATCTTCCACCCCATAGTTTATCTCCCTGAAAGAAGAGTAAATTGCACTTACGATTACTACATGAATTACTGAAATATAAACAGTCCTGGGAAAAGAATACAGTCCATCGAACAATATGACACTATATGGTACTTTAGCATTGACAAAATAAGAGCTCAGTAGGACAAGCAATTAAGAAGACTGCATGCTGCATCTAGTTTTTACAGTAAACGCATAGTAGAAATGAAAGAATAAAATACTTTAAAGTGGTATTTCACCCAAAACCAAAATTGTAATATATCACAGCTTATTAATCATTAGATGTGATGGCTGCATTAGATTCCCTTTTCTAAGCTTTTGCCCTCTGTTTTCACCTGGTGATCTGGCCAGTAACACCCTTCTGTATTATAATGCTCACACTCTGGATGAAGGAGCAACTTTTGGAAAGCAGCACTGTCAATCTGGAATGAGGGGAGTGCTAGATGTACTAGCAGATTTAGATACACTCAGGGGTGGACTGACAACTCATGGGGCCCCTGGCAATAGGGGATCATTGCACCCCTGTATCCTTGCCCACACTCAAAGCACACCCAAAAAAGCCTATAAAGAAAAAAAAAAAACAAAACAAAGTGTACCAGGGGCATGTCATGGGGCCCCCTACTGACCCCGGGCAGTGCCCGAGTGCCTGAATGGTCAGTCTGCCCCTGGATACACTAATTGCAGCCATACTCCAGCACACTTTTTTTTATCAGTAACAACAAACTTTTTTTTTTTTTTTGAAATAAAGGGTTTCCACTAATGAATAAAAGCCAATCATTGTAAGCACCCCTGTCACAGCTAAATGGTGAAATTGTGTGTCTCAACTCTCTGCTACAACTGACAACAGACTTACTGGCTACATCTGCTACAACAGGTTTACTGACTAGATCACCAGGTGAAAACAAAGGAATGAAAGCCTAAAAACAGAAAAACTAATGCAGCCATCACATCCAAGATTGGTAAGCTGCAATATAATAAAATGTTTGCTTTTTGGTTGAATACTGCTTTGAGTGTATCAACACCCACAACTAGGTTTTTAATTGCTATCTGTGTTCCTGTTGGAGATGACCTCTTATTTCCTGTCATATTGTCACCAAGACAGGAAACGAAAGAAAATTTCTCCAATGGGAGCCACAATAAAATGATGAGAAAAAAATTACTAACAGCTAACAAATGACTACAAATGCACACAAAATGCACCAAATAATATTGAAGGAACCAAATATAATTGGCTGCAAGCGGATTCATGCTCTTTAAAAAGTTCAAAATTGAAATGTTAAATTCAGAACCGTTTATTGCAGTTACCAATCCTGTCTGACATGAAATACACTATTCTACATTAAGAGATAAGTGGTCTGGAACATTGACAGAACATCATGTGCTCTTGCATAATTCCACTGATAGCTCTCTCATTACGTTTAATAGAAAACAGCCTACGCTGAATGACATTAGGACAACAAAGACATCAGAGATCAAGTGACCAGTACCTATTTCATAAGATTAGTCACAGGACATACTGGGTTCTGGCACAAACAACCGGAGCACAAAGCAGCTTCGAGTACAACAAGCAATTTCACCTATCAGACTAATCAATGCGCACATTTTCCAACTTCTACAGAGAGCAGACTTTATAACTTTAGCACAGTTGCTCTGTTTGCTAGACTACATAAATTGGGTGGAGTCACTCCATGGCTTCCTATAGTTTTATAGACTTCATAGAATTTCCTAGCTGTCATCATACCCATTTGGAGTTTTGCATGTTCTTGCTTGCTTAGGAGGGAGAGGGAAACAGGGACCTTGTAAGAGCCATGGCAAGTGTGAGATCTGGGAAATGCACATAAGAAATCTCATCAATACAGTGGCTAAATGGTTAGCACTTCTGCCTGGCAGTAACAGGGTCGTTGGTTCAAATCCCAACCATGGCACCACCTGCTTGGAGTTTGCATATCCTCCCTCTGCCTGTGTGGGTTTCCTCCGAGTACTCCGGTTTCCTCTCACACTCCAAAGACATGCTAGTAGGTTAATTGGATCCTGTCTAAATTGGCCCTAGTATGTGTATGTATGGATGTGAGTTAGGGACCTTAGATTGTACACCTCTTGAGGGTTGGGGACTGATGTGAATGTACAATATATATGTAAAACGCTGCGTAAACTGAAGGCGCGATTAAAGTTCCTGAAATAAAAAAAATCACAGTCCCAACAAGAGATATGAGAAATTTTACAGTGGTGTGCCGCTCTGTCATCTACTGAGAAATACATTCTGTCTGGCCTGACACTATAAAAAAGGTATAACTTCAAGAGGAGCTCCACCCAAAAGGGGGAGTTCCGCTTTAAGGACCGCTCCGCATTTAGGATTGGCACTGTGGGGGTGGGGTGGAGGGGGAATTGGGTACCTGAATTTGACAGGTTCCCACTTCCAGTTCGATCGCCTAGGCGATCGGAAACAGAAGGCGTCCTCCCTCCCGGTAGTCTTTTGGGACACGTGACAGGTCCCAGAACACTACAGGACCATTCATGAAGTGCAGCGCTACTTGCACATGCGCAGTGGGTACCCAGCTGTGAAGCCGCAAGCAGTCACAGCCGTGTGCCCACACTGAAGATGCCAGCCTCCAGGAATACAGGACGGCAGGTGAAACGGGCTGTGGGGAACACACCGAGGGACAGGTAAGTAGCTGTTTTTTAAAAGTCAGCAGCTACAGTTTTTGTAGCTGCTGACTTACTTTTTTACACCATGAGTGGAACTTCACTTTCAATCTAAAAACTCTCATTTTCAATAGAATGAAGAAGGGTTTAAACCTTTGTCAGATTTGACGATGCCTTCATATGGTAGATTTTCATTCCCTTCCAAATAGATTCAAATTTGTAATACAATTGATTTAATAAGAAAAAAATGCCATTTGGTTGAAAAAAATTAATTAACGATAAAGCATTTTTGTTTACTATAATATACATATACAGTATTTATACTTTTCTTTTCCCCACAAAATCAACTTGTGTATAGATCAAGATCGGGTAACATTGGCATTACTGTTATTTTTATTATGATTATTAATATACTATTTTTTATTCTTGTTATTTTAACCACTTCAAGTCCGGACACTTTCACCCCTTCCAGTCCAGGCCAATTTTCAGCTTTCAGTGCTATCACACTATGAATGACAATTGCGCGGTCATGCAACACTGTACCCATATGAATTTTTTTCAGCATTTTTTTGAGACAGATAAAACTTTATTTTGGTGGCATTTATTCACCACTGGGATAAACACCACAAAAATTTTCAAAAAACTTTGAAGAGAAAAAAAAAAAAAAGTGTTTTTCTTATACAATTTTGTAAATAAATAATCTTTCTTCATAAATCTTGGTCAAAAATGTATTCATCTATCTTTTAGTAAAAAAAATAACCAAATTAGTTTATAACCAAAAATTATAATTTTTCAAAAAATTTGTTTAATTTTTTTTTTTTTTTATTATTATTTATGTTTTAGTTTTTTTGTTTTTTACATACTGTCACCCTAGCACTACAGCGTCACCATAGTGACACTGTACTACTTGTGGAGGGTGATGATTTTTTTTTTCTTTTTTTTACACTGATAGCTTTTATATCCATAAAGGCTGTAAAAGCAATAATTTTCTCTCTCTCTCTCTGGCTGCAGGAATGCAGCCATTGAGAAATACTGTGAGAGCAGTGATTGGTCACAGCTTGTCACATGGTACAAGGCTGTTGTGAATAGCCTTGTACCATGTGACCTCTGTAATCATTCTCAGATTTCACAAGTAGTAAGCAATAATGTCAGGAAGTAACATCTTGTTTACTACTATTCATGTGATCACTGATTGGCCAATCAGTGATCAGATGAATCGGGACCTCACACAGAGGTCCCGTACAGCGATCTGTGTTCCATTGTGTCCTGAGGACACAGTGGTCACCTATCGCGGTGCCGAATGCTCCCACGAAGCGTGCACAGGCAGTGAATGCGGGGGGACGTTTAGAAACGTCCACCCGCTTCAGCAGCATTCCCGTCCGGCCGTTTATCTACATGGGCCAGACGAGAAGTGGTTAAGTAAAATTAATCATGGGTGCTCCACATAGGACCTATAGAATTTCTTCTTAGTAAGTAGCTAATTCTGATAAACTGCAACATACAATATCTTTGGCTTTACCTCTGCGGGTTGTCCAGTGCCAATCCAAAACACAGGCTGGGGCAAAATTATGAAGACTTCTACAAAGTGAAGAAAATTCCTTGTTTTATTTAAAAGCTTCACTATGGGCAGACTTTGGCATTGTGAAGGTCATCCTCTACTTTTGGATTAAGATAGCAACTCAGGGATGTACAGTAAATCCTGGTACGTGGATAGTTGCCCTATTGACATTGGAGGGCTGTCTACTGTTTTCAGCTGGAATGGGTAATGATCTAAATTCTAAAGCTCCATGAGGAACCCAAAGACAGCACCGACTGAGGCTTCCTAGGGAAGAATAGCTATTGGACTAGTTAGAAGATCTTGTCTGATCATTAAGGATTTTAACTAATGAGCTGCTTAGGTGTCTGCAATGCACATCCCTTGCCTTGCTCCACTGACCAAAACACAGATGGCTGTCTGGTACAATAGTCTGTGTAGTCAATAGTCATGTACAGAACAGGTGCCATAGGGCAGTGTTTCCCAACCTTTCTTCAGTCAAGGCACCCTTTAAAAATTATTGGTAGTCCCGAGGCACCCTTTAAAATTATGGACAGTCTTGAGGCACCTCATTCTAAAATAGGGTGCCTCAAGTCTGTCCAAAATGTTAAAGGGACACCCCATTCTAAAATATGAGAAACTATTCTGATAGTTTTTATAATGCAGCAACATCCACACTTGTAGGACACCCAACGTTAGAGGTGATTTATTAACTAAAAGGCAGGCCTATCCACCCACTGGCTTGTATACACGTTTTGGGCAATTTTTAGACATTTTGCCAAGGCACCCCTGAAGAAACCTCAAGGCACCCCAGGGTGCCTGGGCACCCTGGTTGA